AGTACTAAAGGAGGTCCCAGCTTTGTACAGGCTGCAGTGCCTGGCAGGAAATGTTTTAGGGTTTTGGGTTTTTTGTTTCTTTGTTTGGTTGATTTTCCTGTGGGTTTTTTTGGTTTTTATTTGGGGGGGGAGGTGTTGTGTGTATATTTTTGTTGTTGTTTTTTAGCGTGCTTGTTTGTTTGATTGATTGTTTTTTAATCTGAAAAGATGAGACAAAAAGAACCAGAAAAGAGACAAGTACACTACAGTGTCTTCTAGATGAATGGAGGCTTTGTACTTCCATAGTGGCCTGTTTTATATGTGCACTTCTATCTCAAAGAATTATACAACACTTTTTTTTTTTTTTAACGAAATTTAAATCCAGAAAACTGTAATGATCTTGAGTGGAATCTGAATGTTGGTTCTGTGTGTGTTGGAAGACAAGGAAAAGGAAAGGTAGTAGAATCAAAAGCAAGCACTTTTTACACAGCAGGTAATTAGATTATAAAACTCAGTGCACCAGGAAATCATTGAGACAGAGAGCTCAGCAGGATCAAGGAAGGGGACTGTGCATTGATTTGGGTAATAAGAGCAAGCTAAGTCAATACTTCTTGCTGATAGAAATGTTGCTGAGATGTTGAGTACATAAGATGGTGTTTCAAGGCTTGTGCTAATCACTGTCTAATTTCAAGTGTCAGGCCACACCTGTCAGATCCCCGTTACAACAGTGCCACCTAGAACATACTACACGTGAAGGGGACATAGTACACTGGATATACTTCTGATCTGATCCTGCCTGGCACCTCCTTCCTTTCCCCTTTAGAGAAGAGTGCTCCCATTCTGCAGATGGCAAAGCTGATAGCAATGCTTTAATACCTACAACTCTTGCCTTCACTAGTCAGTACTTCTTAAGTACTGTTACTTGAAAAAAATCCTTGGATAACATACCCAAAAGCAGAAGCAGAAGGGGATTGTTGGAACAGAGAAGCAGGCAGTGCAGAGTTGGAGGAGGGGATGAACGTTTTTTGGGTTCCACAGCTTAGGTTATAGTTGTGTATGAGTAAATTTTACAGTGGTATTTTAATTTGTTACTAAACCCACAGATAGCAAACATCAAAAATATGGTGACTTGTACAGACCTAAGGAATGCTCATCCTTGATATGCTGACTTGGTGCCTAGCCCAAGTTCTTCTGTACTGTTCATAGTACAAACTTATTTTGAATTCAGTGATTTAGGCAGTTATTGTCTATAACGATTGCAGAGAAACATATCGTCTCTACTCCTGGTCATGGTGCAGCACGAGTGGGATCTGTTTCATGATACCTTACATTTCAGTAGCAATTTCTTGAAGGCATGAACTTTCTGCTGAAGTGCTGAATTGAAACAGAACCTGATTTACAGAGCTACCACTGCAATCCCAGCTGAATTTAACATTGTTCTACATTGGTGCTTCTCTGGATGTCTAGTGAGGTTATTTCTAGGTTAATTTTTCTCCTGATGCAGTCTTAATTAAAATATAATGAAGGCAACAGAAGTTGCAAAATAAAATAACTTGAGAAGATCCATTTTGTGCTGCACCAGTGCTTTGTGGTCGGATGTTTGGTATTGCTGCTAATTATTGTTCTATATGAGGCACGTGTCTAATAGCATTTGTGTGTGTGTGAATCATCTGCAGAGCCTGTGACAGCATTCCAGAAGTGGAGTGAGCTATAGTGGCTGAGACCCTGGGTTTGCACCATGGGTTTCATTCCTGTGTTGGACTGAATGGAAGGAAATATTAGTGTTCTTTAACCCAGCAATTGTGGAATACAAAGGGGAATACGTTTGCTTTGTTAAGAAGTCACATATTGCAATTAGCTTTCAACAATCCACTGACAGTTAATGGGGAAAGTGATTTATTTCTGATGAGGCTCTAGCTGTGATTTTTTTTTATTTTAAGAGAAAGAAGAGGAAATCATTCTTTTGCAGTAGATTAAAAGCAAAAATGAGGTTGATAGTTGGATGTGATACTCAGAATGTAAGCATCATGCTCCATAATTAGCAAGTGTGAAATGCATACCCACCAGGATGAGTTAGACCATGTGGTGAAAGAGGGCGAACATGAGTTGGAAAATGAAGTTCTTCACACAAAATTGGCTGTGCTATTCCCACACACATGCACAAAATATTCAATCGCTTAAATTCTTCATTATTTGTCTCGTATTAACAATAGCTGGCAATGAAATATTTGTAGGTGAACTTTCATGTTCTGTTATGGATTAGTTGACTGCTGTCTCTGCAGCATGCTTAGGAGTTGGTCATAGAATGAGGGGGTGTAAAACCTAATTGTATCTTGCAGGCAACAGTCCATCTTTAAAAAGTGCATGTGGCTGGATTTAATACTTCCATCTAGTAACCTGCTTTGTTACATCCTTAGTTTACCAAAATCTTCCTTCCTCTAGCACGGAACAAAACCCTGTGCTGTTTCTAGATGCCAATGTCTAACTGTGTTTGTGTTGAAGTGTTGCAGCCAGTGCTTTCTGGGATTATATCAATGGTTTCCACACTCTCAATCCTCCTCTTAAGTAAACAAACAAACCAGTTTTACCACTTCTTAAGAGTAAGATAATTTCAGAAGGAAATCCTTCAGAGAGGATCTGGCAGGAGTCTATCCTGCCGGTTTACCTTTTTTCAGCTGTACACTACAACCAGAATTTGCCTTTTTAAACTGGTACTAAATGAATATGTAATGATCAAACTTAGCTGCTCTTTGTAGCTAAGCCATGGAAAGAAATGCATTATTACAGAGCTGTACTACTGCAGCTAGAGGCAAATTTGGCCTCCTTAGAAATACTACAATTCTCTGTGCAGCAAGATCCTGCTCATCTCACTTCCTGTGGGATCTTGGAGCAGGTATTATTAAGATCAGAGTAATCCCAAAACAGTGGGGTGGTGAAATTTGAGAGAAGGCAGGAGGCTTGCTTTGGTTCAGCAGCCTTGCTGGAGGTATTTAATCTGAACCTTCCCAGCTTTTTGAAGCCCTGCCAGGCAATAGCTGGGCCCTCCCTTTCTCCTCACCTCTCAAACAGATCTCCATAGCTTTTCTCAGCCAGCAAGTTACTTCCTTGTTGAAGGAATCTGGTTCCCTCGCTTGATTATTGCATGAGAAAATAATCAGGCTTCACTGCTGTTTTGGAAGCTGTAATGTGTCTGGGGTTTTCCTTTAGCAAAACACTGTTTATTGCCAATCTGAAAACAGTTGTTTTCTCTCTGAGGAACCAATGTGTTCCTGTGGATTTTTTTTCTCTTCAGGAGACCATAATATCCCTAACTGCTCTTGCTTTAATGACTACTGAAGCAACAGAAGTGGCCTGTTGCTTGAAACTGAGGTGGAGAGTTTGGATATCTGAATATACCTGTGCCTTGGCTCCAATACTGTTTCCACCTGTGACAAAAGAAGGGAGCAAGCAATGGAGCAGAACCAGGGCCCATCTTCTTCAGCAGTGTAGGGACCAGACAAGGACTTGAACTTTGGGTGAGTACTGCAGGCCCCCACTGCTCTGCTTGCACAGCTCGCTGCTGTACACCCTGCCCTCTGGGCTTTCTGTCTCTGCACTTCTACTTGCACAAGGAGTAGTAATGCTGTGAGAATAAACACTCCCAGGACTATAAAGTGTATGTGATTGGAAATATAAACATATCAACTATCAGCTCAATAATCCAGAAGCCCTTCTGCCTAGAATGCTTTACCTGGAGTCCAGTTGTTGTGGAATAATGCACCTAGAAGGGTGTATTGTCCTTACCTGTGCCAGATTTCTTTGGCGGGAAGTCTGCAACAGTGAGAGGAACCAAAATGGACAAGAGATGGTGCACTAAGTAGCACCTTTTAGTCTCTGTTTCCTCTTCTCAGGATTGACCATAGATCTGAGTGATGCTTGGGCTTGCCAGATAGGTTGTTACCATTTAGTGCATGTTGTCAAACATAGCTAATTAGGCAAGAGCTAAGCTACTTACAGGACTTAAACGGTATCTAGAACTATATCTGGTTGGTCATAACTCACTAGATTTTAATATAGTTGTCTCTGCCTCTTCTTGCTGCTGTTAGTAACCTAGAGAAGAGGTTAATGTTATCAGTTCTGCATCTGTGCTATTGTGACTATGATTATTTAGCTCTTGCTTTTCTATAACAATATAGCTCTGTCTTTTTCTATACACTTTGCCCAAAACCATCTCTGTTTTTCCTCTGTGAGTGTTTGTGGGAACATCTCCTGTCATTAACATTAATGTGAACATTCCCTAAAGCTCAGTGCAGTCTTTAAAACATGTCCAAAGTGTGCTTTGGTGCATGTCAAGTCCTGCTTAAAGGCAAAAAACTAAGACAAAGGAGATTCAATAAACCATCTGTTGTACCTCAGCTCTACCTTGATACCTCTTGGCGCTGGGTGACATACATGTGGCATCCTGGAGAGTGTGTGCATCCAAAGGAGAGCATGGAAGCAAGTACTAGTGGCTTCATTTTGTGTGGTGTCTTGCTCTGTGGATGCCTCCTGAAACCACACTGCTCAGTGCCCATCCACCTGATGTGGATGATACAGTTAGTTCATTCAGTGGATTAATTTGAATAAATAAAACCTACTGCACTTTTTTTATCTGTGTGGAGGTCCAGACACTAAATGCACTGCAGATGAGGGCAGCTGGAGGGGCGTGGGTGTGGGTGCTTGGAAAAGAGTTCAAGCCTTGCTTTAGTCAGCAGTGGTCTGGGAAACAGCATTGGGAGAGTTAATATGGGGATGTTGGTATCTCTTGCTAAATGCTTTGTCAAGACTGTGGATTTAGAGTATTGCAGAATATTGTTACCTAGACATTCTGCTCTTGGGGCAATATTGCAGAATGAAACAGCACATTAGCTGTAAGAGAGTATTTTACTGGAATACTTCTTAGCTTGTTTCCTAGCAAAAAACTTTTCAAATATTCTCCCTTTCATATGTCTCAGTAATCTGTTCATCTGTTTTCATAGTATTTTTAATATTTTTACAAGACTGGGGAGTGTTTGGGTTTTTTTTAAAAGGAAATTAAATTGCTTTCAGCTTGGGGCCTTTCATTAGACACAGTCTGTAGCATGGGTCTCTAGCATCAGGAGGTCCTGATACTGGGCTGTAATTGAGTTTTGCATTCTGTCTGAGCAGAGTTCATCTCAAAAACTAAAATCTGAGGGAAAAAGTAATTTGTGCAGATGGTCTTCATAAAATAAAGGCAGATTAAATCTGGACCTGTCACAGAATTGCTCTTGCAGATGCATCTGCTGCAAAATAATTACCTCTCTTGAGCCCAGTAAGCTAATCAATGTCTTTTGTTTGTGTCTGCAGTGGAAACAATTAAAAGCTCATTTCCTGGTTTTTAGGTAAACTTACAGATTCTCTGATTTTTAGGGATAATTACATTCATTTTGATGTGTATCACAGTCCAAAGTGTTCCTTTTGGACAACTAGCTGTCTGTAATATAATTTACCAGGATGTAATTTCTTTTCAATCACTTTTTTAACTTGACATGGTCTTTTGCTAAAGAGTTCAAAATCATTTTGTCTCCTTCATTGTAAATTACATTTAAAAAGCTTAGGGCTTTTTGTAAAAACATAAGAAATGCCATTATTTGAATTTATTTCGAATTTTCTTTAAATTAATTTTCTGCAACATGAGAAAAAAATTCTGTAACATAGCTGAGAAAATAAACACTGCTACTACCTTAGTTGTAGTCTATGAAAATCTGCCTTGGGAGTCTGATCTCTCAAACACAGTGAGATGTGTGTGCTGGGTAAGTGCTGGCAGGTAGAGAGGACCCCTCTGAGAGGGGCAGTGGATGTTAGAAAGCAGCTACTGATGATGTCACTTAATTCCTGGAAGCACGTGTGAAATTCCCAGCGGACTTCCACTGAGGGATTTCCAGTAGAGATTTTACTCCGTGCGATTTGCCAGGTCCATCGGTATAGCTCAGTATCATGTTGTGGGTTCACAGGGGGATAAATCTCACCCCTCCATGCTGAAATTCCATGGGCAGGCTGGACAGTGGTAGACTGGAATGTGGTGCTGCTCTGCTCATGGCTCAGAGCAGCAGAACCTGCATCTTCCCTGGGATCAAGGCTACCAGGGAGCACAGGGAGGTGTGTGGTGCATCCATTTTCTGCTCCGAAGGCCGCCTTGGATCCTGGACCAGGCGAGCATCGCACCTCACATGCATGAGCTGTTTTAAGCATGGAATGCTCATCACACAACTGAGCTCTCAGTGTGAATGGTGTGAATGCTGCCACAAAGGGTGACACCTGGAAAGGAAGCAGGACAAACTGATGACATCATTTCTGCCAAACCTCTCTGCAAGGTAGCAAACATGCCTTTCCTCCTGCTTTGCACAATCCCTGCTCCACCAGGACAGACCACTCTTTTACTATCTTCATTTTGACTCAGTGCTGCCTGTAATGTGTCAGTGTTTATTGACCATGAGCAGATTTAAATAATTTAAATAGCTTTTCCCTGTGCCTTCTTTTCCTTGTGGCTTGGCAGGAGCATGAATTGTTGAGGTGAAGGTTAAAAAAAACCACCCAAACCCCAAAAAATCCACAAGGTCTTTTAAGCTCTATAGTACATGGCAGTGATGATACAGTTGGGTTTAAAAGGAAGTAACAAGATCACACCCCGTGATTAACCTTGCATGCCTTCTTTAGGATGGCTTCACTTTGCTCTTTGTCCTCTGCTTGTGCTTATATGTTGGCATTAAATCAGAAGTGCTGCTGTCACTAAAATACACCTTTTGCTTCCACCTCTGTTTGAATACCTTAATCTCTGAATTGTTTCAAGACTGTGCTGCAGCAGACCGACCTCTTGTTTTTTATTATAAAGAATAAGTGACAGTAGCTACAGAGGGGGCAGTGAGCCTCTGCACAGACAGACGGATATTTGTTTTATTTTAATTCTCAGTGACCTTTATTTTATCCTGATTCAATTGCTTACTCAAGGGCACCAGCATTTTTTGTGCCTTTAATGCATTAAACATTTTTCCAACTAAAGGAAGTGTCAGATATATCTCTTGTTGTCTTAAGAGTCACGATTAACCTTCAGCAGTGAATGTGCCCAAGAGGAAAAATGTGAAAGCGGAAAGTGGATTTGTTTGTAGAGTGGAGAAAATAAAAATCTCTTGTGCTATGAATGTACCAGTTTTAAACCCTCAGAGCTGAGGGATCCCCAAAAAAGTCAATTTTATTTTCTGACAGCTGTTCCTGACTTAATTTAATTAATGGGAAATGTACATAGCCACCTTTTTTGTAAGTTAATAATGTCCAAGTCATTTTTGAATATGAGCATTTTCTGAAATGCTTTTGTTTGTGTACCTTGTTTAAGAGGCTCGAGTGTCTATACACTGTGCAGGAGTGTCCTGTGTTGCAAAGGTACTGAGATTTTGCAGATGGTTTGTGAGAAAATAAAAGAGATTAAGGAAGCAGGTTGTCTAGGTAGTGGAATACAAATTAACTATTTATATCCTCATGTTGTCCACATTGGATCTGAAAAAACCCTATTAAGCAGCCTTTGAAGACCAATCCCAAAACTTGAGCTGAAAATGTTCACTGAAGCCTTTGTTTCAGAATTCTCTGTTTTATTTGTAAATAACACAGATGTATTTACTACAGTCACAGAATCCAATCTGTTTGAATTATTTTATCTTTAGGCCTCCTAAAACAAAATTCTTGAGCTGATCATGAACTTTAGGGATTAAAAATAGTTTTAAAAAAATTACCTCAATGTATGATCTGCTAATTTGTCTGGACTGTCAAATCCCACCCACCAACCAGTGTCAAATAAGAACCAGGAGACTTTAGCTTGTACTGGAACACAGCTGTCAGGAATATCTTCAGTTCAGATACAGGGAGTTGACCAGTGGTAAACTTCCCATTTGATTTGCAAAAAGGAATCTACCTTCACTATTAAGGGTCTGTTTTATATCATACACATATCATACTATCCAATTTTATCATTGAATAAAAATGTCAATTTTAAGGCATTCACTATGTTAAATATTTGCTTTTTCCTTTGAATAGGTGAATGGCTATATTAATATGATTAATATTATTAGTTATGTTTGTATTAATGTTTACCAGGAGTGCTAATCAGTAGTGACTTGTCATTAATTCATTGACATTTTTAAAAGAAGAGGAACTGTTACTTCTATGTGTGAATTTTCATTGTTCAAACACCACTGTGAAAAATTAAATTTCATAGCAGTTGGCAGATGTTTCCATTGCTGGTGTGAGTGAGTTTCACAGTTTGATCAAAATTATCTTAAATTTTCTGTATTACTTTCAGCCACATTATAATTTGACTGTAAGTAGAAATGGTCGATCAAGATTTGCACAGCTCTGTCATGCCAGATTTTTAGGTGGTGTTAACCCTCCTTTCTCCATCACTGAGAAGTCGTCTAGCAGTTCAGGATGTGCACATGGAAAACTTACCTGGTCCCAAACACTCCCTGAACAATTTCAGGGCCTGGATTGATTTTGCCTACCTAGGAATGATGAGCTACATGGATTTGAAGATACTTTGTTAATGAAACCAAGTTTTCAGGTTTCTGTAACCATTTTGCCCCTTGTTTCAGTTTCCACTTTGTAATGGCTCTTGCACCTTATCTGGTTAACTGGCTCCCCAAGAACTGAAAGTAACTAAACACCACCCTAGTGGGGTTTAATTTATATACACTTCTACCTTCATTTCAGTGTAGACTCAGTCCAAAACGTTCTCTTTTCAAAATTTTTTTACATGGGCCAGAACCTTTCTCAACAAGTACAGCAATATCCAGAAACATGTTGTCCTTCCCCCTGCTCCTTAAAATGTACATCCAAAATGCTCAGATGTCTTCACTAGTTGAGATTAGAGACGAAAAGCTCCCAGATTTGAGCAAGGCCACCATGTTGAAAGAATTTTTTGTTTCTTAAAGAATCCCCATCACTAGTCCAAGGATACCTTTAAACCCATCTAACTGGGGACTCCTGGTTGCATGCCTGGTAAGCTGGGTTGGTTTCTTTAGGATGTTCTTTAGGAACATATGTATGTTCTTTAGGATCATAATTTTCATGCTGTAGCCTCTGATTGTCTGGACTCTCTTTTATCTGTTAATTGCCCATTTGTTCAGCTTTGCTCATGTTTATTTTCATAATTTTTACTACTTGTCTTTTTTCCCTCTCTGATACTGTTTTGGAGAGAGGAGCAGTTGCAAGTGGTTGCACCTCTATTCTTGTTCACATGACAGAAGAGCAATGGGGATTGCTAAATGCCCCAGTTACATTGGTAACTTCACATTTGAAAAAAAAGCCATGCAATTTTGGGAATCTGATCAATAAGCTGCGAATTCTGGGCTTGCTGGAGTTTCCCCATATCTGTCTATCTGTTTCTGTAGTCTCTCTAGCCCATAATCAGAGAACAAGTTATAAACAAACATGAGCATAATTCATCTCACTACTCTGTTAGAAGTCATACAAACACTCTCACATCACCTCGAAAAATAGTTGGTGTGTTGTTCTTTACTACTTTTATTTATATTGTTTAATATATATACATGCGAATACCAAATGGATTATAATTTTTAAAGTTTTGTCTCTTTCCCTGTCCTTCTACTTGCATGATTATTTTTGAATGAAGTAGGTATTTTCAGTTAGGCAATCTTATGGCCTAAGGTGGGTGAAAATTGTTTCCTCTAATAAAGGAACATTTGAATTGCCATGACTTTCTCTGGTTTATCTGTCCTTCTGTTCACCTTATTTTGCAGGAATGAATTCATATTTCTCTCCACAAGTGTTTGTGAACATTATGAGATGTTTTCAAACTATGTGTGGCAATGCAAGATCTTAATATCTCTTGTGTGGCTTAAAAACATCTGGGATATAGAAGTGTGGTGAACAATTGGGTGGTTGCAGTAACTGTTTTTCAGTAGTTGAAGGTGTTGCTAAAAACTCCAAGGAAGTGCTTCATGCACAGCACCAGGCTCTTTCCTGACAAAGTGTGTGCAGCCTCTCAGGAGAGCCACATTGGTGCAGAATTGATGTGGGATAATGATATGGGATGGGCAACATGGAGTTTTATTTTGTTTGTTTTGTAAACAGGATTTGGGCTCTCACGTGCCTTCATAGTTTGTCCAGAGTTGTGCCCACAATTAATTCAGGTGAAATGTTTGATTTGGGGCAGAACCGAGAGGTTTGAGTGCACCCAGATCTGCTCATGGGTAAGAAGTTTTCTTAGAAAGTGGGACTGGTAGGCTGTACAGCCAGTTAGAGGGATGCAGACAAGTCTGGAGTGACTGAAACCTTTTACTGTCTGGCCTTTGAGGGCAAAGCTGAATTGTAGCAGGGAAATGCCTGCATTGCCAAGCCTTTCTCGTGACTGGCTGAGAGGTCAAAGTGAGGAGATAGGAATGGAGACTGCTCTAGTTGCTTGCTCAGTGATTTTTCTTCTTTCTAGTTTTTAAAGTCATACTGCTTTTTAAGGACTGTTTCCCTTCTGCTCTGCACTTTAGGTTTTCTTAATCTGTTCAGAGGCATATAAAGTATCACAGCCATGACACCACCTAAGGAAAGTTTGGCAGGGGATTGCAGCCTATTAAGGGCCTGAGGATTCACTCCCAATGCACTCCTTACATTATAACCATTTCCAATTTCAGTTTTCAGGTGCTTGGTTTAGTAGCGACAGACTGCAGAAAGCTGACTGATTAACGGCAGAAGACTTCTGTTCAAAACCTAATTTTCCATCAAGCTGGTTCTGATGGAAGAGATTTTCAGCAATTCCCTAAACAGCATGTACATAATTAAGAAAAAGCCCTTGTGGTTCTCAAGCCTCCAGCATTTGTGAATGGTCTGTAAATGTACCTATTGCTCTAGTCCAATAATCTTTTTATTCATTATTTCATTTTAAGTAATACTGCAGGAAAATTAGATGTCTTGAGTGTTTATTCAGTTTACTTTCAGAGTGGCAAGGCAAAATGTCACAGGCTAGTGATGAACAAATATCTCTGAGTTATTAAACTTGTATATCTTGCTTGCTTCTTATTGTAATCTGTTCAGTTTGCATTTTCTGTCCCTTGAGATTTTCCTTGATGACTGATATATCTGACACTCTGGTTTTTTCAATGTGAGGATGTTTCATTTATTAGCCTGTGGAAAACTCATAGGTGGAGATTGGTATCTTGCTTCCATTCTTATTTTTGAGTCTGTTTTTTTCATTTTTTGATGGGTGTCTGATGCACAGGCTTCCTCTGGTAATGCAGAAGAAAAAAAGAGCCCCAAGCTGTGTGATCTCACAGCCCACACAGCAGGGCTATGGAGAGGACAGAGATGTAGGTCTGCTCTGCCAAGGCACTCCAGGCTGGCACACCTCTGCACAGCCTGTTCCATGCATGTAGTCACATCAGGCCTGCAGGGAGACTGGGAAAATGCCTTGCTCTACCTTCAGATCTTCACCAGAATATCAGTAGTTTTCTTTACCTTTGTACCTGCTACTGGCCTGTGCTTTTTAAGATTATTTCTTTGTGGGTTTTCCCTGCTTCTGCTTCTTAAACAAGAGCAAGCCTTTCTGTGTTTGTCTGACATGCAGCATATTTTCAGGAGCATGACACAGACAAGAAGCATGGTTTTCAGATCATCTTGTTGCAAATAAATTCAGGAAACTATCTCTTCAAGTGTTCCTCTGTAGTTCTTCATATAAGATCAATCCTGACTGGAGGTAAAGACCTTTGATCTGCAGACTGCACATGTTCAGCTATTTCAATCCCATCTAGAGAGAATCAGTCCATCTGTAAGCATTTCTTGTAGTATTCCCACACTTATGCTTTTGGCCTTAGACAGAAATGAAAGATCAGGACCTTAAAATCTGAGAACCAAGAGGTACCTCTCTTGTTTTTCTGTTGTACAACTTACAGTGATCTGCTGCTGAAGAATTAGTAAAGTTAAAGCTTAGATAACATTGTTTTCCAAAGAGCTAAAATATCTATGGCTTCTTTTAAATTTGGTAAGAGCATCTGTGTATTCAGCGCTCCTGAAAAATCAATCCACTGATTTGGGATGTGAACCTAAATAATAAGTTGATAGAAAGTTAACAAACTCCCACAGATGCATTTGACTAAGAGACACACAGGTGTGCAGGTTAGAGGGAGTAAAGAATTGGGAGGAAGTTGTGTTTAAGCCAGCCTGCACCTTCTTCTGCCTTATGTGACTCAGTTTCCTGCCTTCATAGGTTTTAGAACATTTTCTCTTCCCCCCAGCAGCTGATCTGTGGTACCCAGGCATCAACTCCACATCAGGATTTAGGTTTCCAAGTGCAGGGCCTCCCATGAACATGACTAATGAGACTGTTATAGGTCATAACTCTTTTCTTCTCAAAAGTATTTACGAGTAGTATAATTTTACCTACAATTCAAGAGGGATGCTTAAAAAATACCTTACTTTGCAGTGTTTTCTTGGTCAAAAACTGCACTTCTGCCTATGATTCTCATGTCACTTGTGTCCACAGTTGTGCATAACTGGTTGGAAGCAGAGCTGAAATGCCTGTGAATCTCTTCAATGGAAACTATATTTATGTTTGTGGGTGCTAACTTTGTAATGAATTGGACTTTCAAGTGCTGTAATGGCAAGGGAAGGCAGTGTACACTGAACAACACCCCACGCCATCTCCCTTTCCAAGTTCACACAATCTTTAAATAAAGCAAATATTTTGCTAATTTTTATGTGATATGTTGGTCTTCTAGTCTGTTCTTCTCATTAAAGAAACACTGTCATGGCAGGCTCTTCCTCTTCTATTTTAGCTGAATGAATAGCATCATATTCTGGGAGTTTTTCCCAGGCAAACTGTCATGCATGCCACTCTGCAAGGAGATGCAGAAGGTAGAATTTTTGTGAAGTGATTTGAGACTTGAGCAGTTGATCTCCAGTGAGAGCTGTCTGCTTATTCCTACTCCTGCTAAAGGCAGGAGTAGCTGAAGATTGTTGGTCCTCGTGCTTTCTGAAAACGTGTAACTGAATGAAAGACAAAGTGTTTCATATATCAAGAAAGGATATTGCTTTGGGTTTTCTTTTCTTTTTTAATAGTTGTGAATACAGGGATATTGTCTTACTCAGTAATACTTGTGATCTGTGGCTGCTTCCTGTCATTGTTGAATATTTCACGGTAAGTGGTGGTTCCCCTCTCTTTATTTCAGCCCTATCCTCAAAAGTGGGTGTTTGCAGCACACAATGTGCTGCCTGCTGGGCCCTATTCTTGCCTCTAGCAGAGGGTTCATTAAAGCCCCAAAGAATGGGATTTAATAACTCTTCCAGATTTTTTTTTGCTAGTCTGCTTTTAGTTTCGGCTCGCAACTTCATCAGTTCTGAATGGCCACGTCAGCAAAATCTCTAAAATGCAGTATCTTTCCTTTGTGTGTCTTGCCGGAAACAGGAAGGATTTCTCCCTTTACCTTAGAACTATGAAGAAAATTTTCTTTTCATCAATCCCTCTTCCTCTCTACAAGACATCTCCTCAGATGACTCGTTTCCCAAGGATTTTCTCAGCTCTTAGCTCAAGGGGTTGGCATAAAAAAATCCTTTTCCAGATTCTGGAGTTAACAAGCTAGTAACCAAACTGAGGGGCTGAATAAAAATTTCATCCCTCTTAGTTTAATAGGGTTCCCTAGGAAGTGCTTCATGTGTCAGAAAGCCTACAGTTCATGAAAAGCTAACTCTCTATAAATAATCAGCTGGGGAAAAAAAAAGAGGATAGACAAGACTGGAATTTACAAATTTTAGGCAGGAAAAAATATAAACAGAAACAACCACCGTTTGCTTCAGCTGTGCGATGTTAATCAAGTGGGAAAACTTCTTCAGGCACCGTAGAACACCGATTTCCCCCATAAAATTCTTTACAAATCTTAAATAGTGAAAATCAAGGCAGGCAGGATTGTTTCTCACCAGTTTCAAGCAGCAGACTTTTGCTTTTATTCTGAAATAGGATAAGCTTAAAGACAAATTTGATCTGGGGCTAAATTAGAGCCTTCCATGTATAAAAAAGCAACACTGGAAGTTACAGATTAAAAGAAGGAAAAATCAGTCATTTTATTTAAAGGCTTCTGCCTGCTCACAGGAGGACAGGGGTCAAATCTGATTCAAGTGGTAAGTCCTCCCTGTGGGCAGAGCGATGCTATGGTCATGGTTGTAAGGGACTTGATATGAGTGGATTGTTCTTACTTTCACCAACAGAGAAGGCAGAGAGGCCTGGCTTGGGGATGCTGGCGTTGGATCCTGTCTGTCCATAATTGAAAGCCCACTGAGATGTTTGGCTGTGGCTGAGGAGAGTGTGGTCTAGCACAGTATTGCTGTGTCTGTGCATATGAACTTGCCTGGTGCTGTTCTTACAGTCACTTCTCTGTGCTCTCCTAATGCCTAATTAGAAGCTGAGCAATTAGCTCAAAAAGCCTTAGCAGAGTTTCCTTTTGGAAATTGGTGCCTTTGGTGTTACACAGACAAGGTGAGTCTGGCTGAGTTCCCAAGGCATTGCATGTAATAGGAAAGCAGCAGATAGTAGCAGTTTAATAAGGCCCCTTGATACCCTTATCTGCTGGATAATAACTTTAATTGATAGTTAATGTTTTCAGCTGCATAAACATTTGTCAATTATTATTTAAGCTTCAGAGAAAGGTTACTCTTGATAATAGAATCTTTAACCTCAGATCTTAAGCAACTTTTTTAAAATCACAATTTGAGACAAATAGAATGCTTTAGGGCTTTTTTACTGGCTACAGAATCATGTAAATTAAACCACTAAATATACCTATTTGAAGAATTCTTAACTTTCCTATTTCTATTTTTAGAATGATTATGAGTTCCAAGGGAATAATTTACCTTGTAAAAATAAAATCTCAGGCGCCACAGTTGCGTTGCTGCCCATCTCTGGGATCTTTACAATGAGAGAAGTTCCTGTATGCTGTTGCACTTACAGCAGCTGTTCATGGACAGTTACATCCATTGGTCTGGGGCCTGGTTGAGGATGTATCGTCATCAGGCTTATGGGGCACAGTAAGTGATGGTGTTTATGATGCTGCTGCTTCTGCCCATTCCTGTTGCCCTGGACTGTGGGGCTTGGTTGCTTAGAGACAGACTTATGAGATGACAGTGGTGTTTATCTCTTGACTCTCAGCAAGTAAGGAGTGTTAATTTGTAGTTCATATTGTAGCCGACTTCCTCTTTGGTTTATTAAATCCAGTGTGTTCAGTGCGTTCTCTGAAAGCTTTCATTTAGCTGAGTTTTCCAGTTGTCTTAAAAGTATGGCACAGCAGGCATCGGATGTGAGCTCCCAGAGCAGGGCAGAGATTAATACCAAGTGTGACATTTGGAAGAGTGTCTAGGGGAATGCACTATGCCTGCATATTGCATTTCAAAAGCACTTTACCACTTGCCAGCCTTTTTATTTTTCTCGAATTTCAAATTCCTACGGGAGTTAGACTGAAAGGGAAGAGTTTTTATGCTTCCCTAAAATAACTGCTTACATCTTATTGCGTGCAAATTAACTCCCCCCTCCCCAACTTTTCACACCATAAATGTGCAGCAGACAGAATAAAAAAGCAGGGAACCTGACACAGTACTGAGCTATGCCCAGTGGAATTCTTCTGTGGCTGTCTCCCTTTTCTACTCCAATCCCCAAATTCCTCCAGCCTCTTCCTTCCCTTCTTGCTGCGTTTTGCCCACCCTTACCTTCTCCAGTTATCCTGACAGAGCAGCCAACATTTGCAGAGCTCCTGGCCAGCTCTCAGCCATGAGACAGATGTGCCTTTCCTGTGGGCTGGTGGATGAAGAACATTGCAGGTTATGTCGTGTGTAAAGCAGAGTCTCACAGGTATGATCTTGTGAGCTACAGTCTACTGCGTAATATGACAGGAGAAAGCCAGTTGGTGTGTCATGAGGGAGGCAGCAAAGTAGCAAGGCTTATTATGTTCTTGTTTTCACTTTCAGTTCACAATTTAAATACCCTCCAGGGATAAAATTTCCCTGCTTATAACAGTCATTTTAAATGATAATGTAATTGAAAATTTCATTTTTCCTTTGCACAGGAAGACAACAGCTGTTTTCTGCAAGGCAGAGAGGTGCACAGAGAAATTGTAATCTCTACCACAATTCTTCAATACTGTACAACAGAGGCTTTAGCATCTGTCATTTACTCAGAGTGGTGCATGTTTGTGCAGCACCTAGCAGAATGAGACTTGTTTTCTTGATATTTGTCTTTTTGGTGCTATTCCAATTGAAATGTAGTAATAGCAGTCCTACAGTGCAAATATATTGCAGTTCACGTAAAGGGATGTAATCAGCAGTTCATGCTTGGGTTTTTAACTGTTGCATTCAGTGGAAATGTTATTAATGCAAGCAAGGGAAGTAAAATTTTGTCCCAAAACGTCTAGCTTTGCAATGTCTGAGTACTTAGGTATGCAATACCTGGCAGGCTAACAGTGTGAGACTGGGGGAGAATGAGCTCCTGCCAAATTCGTCCTAAATTTCTTCTTTCTTCCCTGAGCAGAGGGGAGTTGCATTACCATGATGATACGTGCACTCTCACTGCAAATTAGCCAGGTGGAAAGCAAACAAAATGCTTTTCTCTGCATTAGCTGTCTCAAGTGCTCAACACATGTCATTGTGAGGTGCATGGGCATGTAGGGAGTTCAGCTGTGACGTGGGACTTGTCCCTGCCTCTCATAGAGACAGATGCATCCCAGAAATCATGCAATTTGGCACAGATTCATTGTCAGTTGGGAGCTCTGCTCAAGCCCAAGTAGTATCACCTCTGCTTGAGCTTTCCCATGCCATATGGACATGTCTGATGGAAAAGCAAGAAGGGATTTTCTAGGAGTAGTGAGAGGGCTCTAGCAACTCTCAGGGAGGTCATCTGTGTTTACTTGTTTTAGCACTTCATAGCAACCACAAATGTATAAAGACCCTTCCTTATTTGTGGATGATTGCAGTCACCCCAGGTACATCCTGGCAGGTTGATAATAAAAGAGAAATAATACAATCTGGGAGAACTTCTGCATGGCCCTCTAAAAAAGGGATGGGTACCACTGATCAAAACAATGGGTAACTTTTGTCCTTCTTGTATGACATTGCCTGTGGATGTTGGGAATGTGTTGACTTTTAACTGTTGACAAGTCACGATGGAGAGAAGACTCATGGGTAGAAAGAGCTTAGATACAGGTGTCAGTCCAGGGCAAGAAGTGGCTGATTTTGTGACTGACAGAGTCTTCTGTCTTCCTCTCTGATGGGAAGCTTATGTCTGTGATCTCTTGGCATAAAATCATGATGGTGCCTTGGGCAAGACAGTATTTTAAGCTCTGACATCTGAGTCCATAGCTGGAGTTTGTCTTCCCAACTAGAACATAGGGATGAGACCAGGCTTGCTAGGGATGAGCCTAGGGGTGACATGCCAGAGTTAGGGACAAAATTGGTAAGGAAGGCCAAGGAAAACCTCCATTCTTTATTGGACGTGAAGGGGAATATAGTCACCAAAGATGAAGAAAAGGCTGAGGTACTTAATGCCTTCTTTGCCTCAGTCTTTAACAGAAAGATTGGTTATCCTCAAGGCAGCTGGCCCCCTGAGCTGGAAGCAGGGATGGGGAGCAGAATAGACCCCCTGTGACCCAGGACGGGGTAGTTAGTGACCTGCTGAGCCACTGAGATGCTCACAAGTCTATGGGACCAAAAGGGACCCATCCTAGGGCACTGAGGGAGCTGGCAGAAGAGCTTGCTAAGCTGCATCAGTCCTGGCTAATTGAGGAAGTCCTAGATGACTGGAGGTTGGCCAGTGTGATGCCCATCCACAAGAAGGGTCGGAAGGAGGATCTGGGGAACTACAGGCCTATTGGCCTGACCTTGGTACCTGACAAGGTTAGGGAGCAGATCATCTTGAGTGTAATCACATGCAGGACAACCAGGGTATGAGGCCCAGCCAGCAGGGATTGGAAAGGCAGGTCCTGCTCGACCAACCTGATCTCCTTTTATGACCACATGACCCACCCAGTGGATGAGGGAAAGGCTGTGGATGCAGTCTGCGTGGACTTGACACCATGTCCCATGGCATTCTCCTGGAGAAGTTGGCAGCCCATGGCTTGTACAGGTGCACCCTTCTCTGGATTAAGAACTGGCTAATGGAAGGACCCAGAGAGTGGAGGTGAATGGTGCTGCATCCAGTTGGTGTCTGGTCACTGGTGGTGTCCCCTAGGGATCAGTGTTGGGCCCAGTCCTGTTTATTATCTTTACTGATGATCTGGATGAGGGGATCAAGTATACCCTCAGTAAACACCAAGTTGTGTGGGAGTATTGACCTGCTGGAGGGTAGGAAGGCTCTGCAGGGGGATCTGGACAAGCTGGATAGATTGGCCAAGGCCAACAGTATGAGGTTCAAAAAGGCCAAGTGCCAGGTCCTACACTTTGGCCACAACAACCCCATGCAGCGCTGCAGGCTGGGGGAAGAGTGTCTGGAAAGTGGTCCAGCAGAAAAGGACCTGGGAGTGCTGGTTGACAGCAGGCTGAACATGAGCCAGCAGTGTGCCCAGGTGGCCAAGAAGGCCAATGGCATCCTGGCCTGTATCAGGAACAGTGTGGCCAACAGGTCCAGGGAAGTGATTCTTCCCCTGTACTCAGCACTGGTGAGGCCACATCTCGAATCCTATATCCAATTCTGGGCCTCTCAATTCAGGAGGGACATTGAGGTGCTGGAGCGAGTCCAGAGAAGGTCAGTGAAGCTGGTGAAGGGTCTGGAGAACAAGTCCTATGAGGAGCAGCTGAGGGAGCTGGGGTTGTTCAGCCTGGAGAGGGGGAGGCTCAGGGGAGACCTCTACAACTACCTGAAAGAGATTGTGGCCAGGTGGGGGTCAGCCTGTACTCCCAGGCAACCAGCAACAGGATGAGGTTTAGGTTGGATGCCAGGAAGAATTTCCTCACAGAAGGGGTGATTAGACATTGGAATGTGCTGCCCAGGGAGCTGGTGGAGTCACCATCACTGGAGGTGTTTAAAGAAAGACTGGACATGGCACTCAGTGCCATAGTCTAGTTAACATCGTGGTGTTCTGTCATAGGTTGGACTCAATGATCTCAGAGGTCTTTTCCAACCTAATCGATTCTGTGATTCTGTGATCACTGACTTTACAACATGGGGATGTGCTCTAGCATCATCTAGTCAACATCGGCTTGAACTTCAGTCACTACCATGAACATAAAGGCTATTTGTATGTCTCCAGATTAACTTAGTTCAAAAAAATTACTTGCTTTTCTCATTCTCATAGTTTTCTTGGTCCTTGTTTAGGGTGACACAATGGAGGCACACAGAGAAATTCAGCCCTGGCTCCAGGTTATCCACAGTGTGTGCTCAGTCAGATGGCTGAAAGAGGCCAAGGGCTGAACCATTTAGAGATGAGGTTTGCTGCCTTACTGAACATGGCTGCTCCAGTAGTGTCCAACACCTGAGAGCACCAGAGCAGCTCTGTGTGGGTATAGGATTGGCATTCATTTTGATGGGTTTGGACTCAAGCTCCATCTATGCAAGGAGTCATTCCTAAGACATAGGGCAAATGATTCCTGCCCAAACCAAGCAACTAATTGCCCTTTTCACAGAACTGCTGATGACAAACCACTGTGCTTTAGCTCTCCTGTACTCAGGTCTACAGTATAAATCTCCCAGTCCCTCAGAATAGGATGGGCCTTTGTGTACTGGGTGGGAGGGGAACCACACACTCAGGGTTCCTGGGAAGGCAGTCAGACAGTAGGAGAGAGTAGGAGGCTTGTACAAATCCAGCTACAGACGTAACAGAATTTCAGCTGCTGGCATCCAGCTAAGCCCCTGCAAGGCATAAAGACAGACATCACAGCAACACCAGCTCTAGTGAAGCAGCTGCACGGATCACTGCCCACCTGAATTAGGGGGATTTCTTTCCCCAGAAAGCCAGCAGTGTCACTGCTGTTTGAAGGATATCTTATTTTACAGTCTGACTGTATGTGCATGAACACAGTTATACAGAAACTCAAACAACTACGTGAGCTGCTTTTGTATAAGTGCAAATAACAATATGGCAGAACTGTTGCATTACTGAAAGTGGCCCAGGCCCAAAGCAGGATTTGGTTCTATGCTTCGGGCAATGGGGTTATGTGCTGGTACCAGATGGAGCTTTTAAATTTTCATCAGCAGGTTTATGAACAGAAGAATACCCTTTTATCCGCCCCCAGGTCTTTTACTAATAAGGTGCAAATGCTGAACTTCAATTAGCATGGAGTGGAAGTGGAGATGAAATAATACACTTTCTTACTGATGATTATTTATCATGTGAGAGTGAAATAGAGATATGAATAATGACCTGTTTCAGGTTTTTTGAGCTTTTCTGTTGTTTTTTTTTCCCCCCTTTAATGCTTAGTAGTATAATTGTGTGAAAATAGCTAAAAATAATGAGCCAGATTCTCTGGTGATTAAATTCTATTACAGGCAAACAGAGGGAGAGTTTTGAGCCCTGCTCATCTTTGCATTGACTTCTGTAGATGCTGGGCCAAGCCAGGACAGGGGTGTGTGACAGCTGTGTTGTTCAGTTCGCCATGGAGGTATTTTACAAAAGAATTTACAAAACAACATTTTTCCTGCTGCTGAGAGATGGCCAGAGAGGTCTAAGCTTTGCAGCAACATTGTGCATTATCAGGGAATCCCAGTTTTCTTGAGGAGTGCAGGTGCATGGAGAGGCAAAGGGATTGATTAATTGAGTGCTGTCTTTGCCTTTAGCAGCATGTTTGCTGGCCTACAATGTGTGCTTGTGTGCTGTACATGTGCCCCAGATGAGAAGCTTTTTCTGGACCCTGCAGACATCCGGCTACTCTGCTTGTTCCCTGTGCTTTATGAATCATTCAGGTTTCAACAGCAGTGTCAGCTCTTTAGAGGGCGTTGAGTGAGGTTCTCTACCTTAACTGATATCTCTTAGGGAGGAAAAGGTCAGTCTCGGCACATAGTTGGAGAACATATTGGGAAATTGTCAGGAAAGCTGAGGAAAGGTGCAGCTTTGTGAGGTATAGATTGCTTGTGGGAATTCTACATCCAAGCCTTTCATGTCACAGAAACGTAGAATCATGGAATGTTAAGGGATTGGTATGGACCTTAAACACTACATAGTCCCAACCCCCCTGATATGTGCAGGGACACCTCCCACTAGACCAGGTTGCCCAAGGCCTTATCCGGCCTGGCTTTGAACACTGCCAGGGTTAGGGCATCCAACCCTGTTGGATGTCTTGCCTTAAGGAGGCTTTGCTGGAAAAGTAATCCATTGAGAGGATAGGGTCTACTGTTGGAAAACAGAGATACATAAATTTGAATAGTAACTGAAAGAAAACTGTTCTCCCAATAATAATAATTGAGTATGTTGTGATGAGTCAAACCCCAAAATATACCTCTGAAATACTTACTGGTCTTTTCTTCAATGATTGTGCTTCAACAGAGGGTGTCTGCTCTATAGGCCATTCTGGCTTTAGAATAAAATAGCGTAGAATCGTTTAAGTTGGAAAAAAACCTCTAAGATCATTGAATCCAACCATAAACCTCATAATGCCAAGCCCACCGCTAAACCGTGTATTCAAGTGCCACGTCTACACATTGTATAAATACCTCCAGGGATGGTGACTCAACCACTTCCCTGGGCAGCCTGTTTCAATATTTGAGAACCCTTTCCATGAAGAAATTTTTCCTAATAGCCAAACTAAGATCGCGGGAGAAAGGCAGAGCAGCATTGCAAAGGTCTCCCCTGACAACGTGAAACCAAGAGGAATTTTTCTCTTACCCTGGTCATGTAGGCTCGAGACTTGTAGCTGGAGGCAGCTGCTGCTCTTTTACAAAATGTGGCTGTGAGCAAGAAGTAGCAAGAAGACAGCACAGGGGTTTGCAATTGCCACAGGGCTCTTGAGTGCAAATGCCACTTGATTCAATTATCAGAGATGCATGAGGCTTCAGTTCTAGCTTAGCATAGGCACCAAGGCTGAGAGATTATTGAGGAAAAATGGATCTGTTCTTTGATTTGCCGTTTTTATGGCATATATCATTGTTAAAAGAGGGCCACTAAGCTTTTCTTTGTACTGCGTTGGAAGTGACACGTTGCAAGAGGAGAAGTTCTATTTAAAATTGCATAATCAGAGATGAAGTGAAATGGAAGCGAAAGATCAAAGATAGGAAGTAGGGAGAGAAAGAAAGAGACCATGTACAGTATGGCTACACAGACATCTGAATTTCATTTTAATGAATCTCTGCTCAGGAAGGGAAGGGTAGCTGTTTGTGTACCAGGAGGGAAAGAACAGCCTTCTGCCACACACTGAGATTTTCTTTGAACATCATCTCTTACCAAAATGAAGGACTGCACTCTGCTTCATATTTCACAGAATTAGAAAAGACCAAGCTATTTTCCGATTCCCTGCATCTTGCTTATGTAACTTGCAGATGACAAGGCTGTGCAACCTCTGGCTGAGCCCTGGAAAATTTCCTTGTCGGTGAGTCAGGTGCTTGGCAAACAGTCTGGCGCAGAGGGCTTAGAGATGACAGTGACGTTAGAGGCGTTACCTGGGTACCAGAGCCCAGTTCGGAGTCTCTTTATGAAGGCTCTTCCTACTAGAAGTGTGCTGACCATCTTGACACTTCCTACCAGAAGTGTGCTGACCAGGCAAAGACAAGATGGCAAAGACATCTTGTCATTGCCAAGTGTCTCTGTTCTGCTGTATTGTGTCTCTGCTATGTGTGTTAATTCTGTGAAAGTACAAAGCATCTGCCTGGATTGCACTGAAGCAGAAGAAAGCCACAGCCCTGACTGTTATCTAGAGATGTGGGTCAGCAAGGAAGGTGGGAGAAGAGCTAGGCAAGAATGAGTCCTCAGCCTTTATGTGAATTTTATCTATAAAAATTCTTTCAGGGTGTGGGAATGACATTTAGTGCAGCAGAGCTGCAAAAGTGGGACTTCTGGGGAAGCACAGGGTCCCCCTTTTGAGTCTGCATTCCGAAACTCCATGCAGTCACCGTAACAGCGTTGGTTTGGAGGCTGTAGATCTGACTGAAAGCTAGAGGACAGGATTGCATGTTGTGCTGTAGGACTTAAGTTGAGAACTATGAAAAGGGAAGGATTAGACCCAGGGATGAGGGGAGAAAACTGGAGGGGAGAAAGAGATGCAGAACTGTTTCAGCGGCAAACCCGTGGGTCAGCTGCAGTAGATCCCAATTACTATGTCTTTGGAAGTATGACTGAGAGGAGCCAGGAGGTTTGTACCACCAATTAGGTTCAGTCACTGCAGAGTGTCAAGGCTGGGACAACTGTGAGATCCCCAAATACAGTCCATCCTATATCAATCTATGCAGCAAACCTCCCTGGCAGTCCAGCCACGTTTAGAGCAATACTTAGCTCGGTGGTGCAAAGAGCCTTTTTGCCAGACTGCAGTGGGACGGGGACAGAAAGAGATTTTGCCACAGGGATGACCTGGTGACTAATGATTTTCATTGATCATATGCTTGCAGGAGAGAGCAATCTATCATCTGCAGTTCCTGCAGGCTTTTCTGCTGAAGGCTCTGAGAAAGCAAACGTGAGATGTTATCCAAAAGCAGGGCTGTGTGAGCCCACAGAACCTGATGGTGCTGCGCTCTCATGGATGTACGAACATGACAGTGCTGAAGACCCCAGCATCAGGAAATCTCTTGATGACTTCTACAAGATGTATTGCAAAAAACAACCAGGGAGAATGGATCCAACTTACGAGGCTGCATCACGGTGTCTGTCACGGAAGATTTCGGAGCTGGCAAACCGGGATGGAACGAAATATGCATCACGTTGCCTGCAAATGGCACAGTTGGTCTTGAACAGAGACGGGTGCAAGATCTTTCCAAACCACCCCCCTTCTGCCTGTTTTTCAAAGCCAGCTGAAGGAGAAGTCTTGTTGGAAGACAGAAAGAGAACACCTGGGCTCTCAGATGACATCCTCCAATTCCTCTTGAAACAAACACAGGCAGAACGTAGCCCTGATGTGTCACACGAGAAGTGAGCAAGACAGTGGTTTGTTTCTGTCATTGGAGCTTTGCTTTCACTCTAAAAAGAGGTGACTTCCTTAGAAAGACACTCTTCTCCTGGCATCACCTTCAACACCAGACACTCCATGGAGGGGTTCACCTGGAGCAGACCTTGCCACCTTGTTCTCTGCAGGGCAGCACTGCACAAGGAGCACTTGTGGTCCCCATGTAACTGCTTGGGACGTGTCACTAATTGGGATGGGTGATGCAGTGTTTGTTGCTGGGACATCAAACATGATAATTTAAATCCGCCAGGCTTTTAAACTGACCTACATTTCTACCCCAGCTGAATTGTGGCCCTGCCTAAATTCAGCCTCTGTGTAGGCATGGATGTCCAAGTGCTGTTGATTAGAACAGACTGTTTGAATGAACTTGGCATGGTATGCCCCAGACCTAGAGAGAGAAGCTTAATATTTTATTCTGTTCCTGGCTGATACTGTAACATGTATGCCTCCACTGGGATGCCTGTTAGCTGTATGTGTTTACCTGCAGACATATGATCCCACAGATCATGACTGCAAATGCAGGTGAGCTTTTCCAAGAGAAGAAGTGTGTATGTGCGTGAGAAAGAGAAAATACAGTTTCTGAGCATGTTCCATGACAGCACTTCTGTCCTTTTTACCATCAACCCTCCAACAACCTTCAGTTCCTTTCTGTCTTTCATGATGGTGCTAATGAGATCCCTGGAGGAATGTTCCCTTTAAAATAAAACAGATCTCTCTGAGTCCTAGAAGGCTGATGTCAGTCAGCAACAGAACAATGAACCCCCACACAACCACTTGAGGTCTCTCTCTTGGAGGCCTCCTTGCTCAGTGGCTTCTTTGCTGCCTTGCTCCCTCTGCCAGGCAGAGAAATGTCTTTGTGCTTATTTTCCACCCACTGGCTTGTCCCCTGAAAGAGAGGATTGCTGTAGTGATGTTGCTTGCTGACTGAGGAGGTCATTCTCCAGTGTGGATGTGATCAAGGTGACAGCATATGGGCAAAGAAGAAAGGATGGACAGTCAGGGTCTCAAAGGTCAATGTTAAGGTTCCCGGCTAATGTGGTTACTCCAGTACAGCCACACTGCTTGCACCAGTTTTAGTATTTGATCTTCAGCGTTTCAGTTTGGAGACAGCCCTTACCTTGCCAGCCCAGTTGCTGAACCCTCTCATCAGTTCCCTTTCCACACTGGCCAGATATCAGGATGGGTTTTGGTGTTCATGCACATCAGATTCCCTGCTTCAGTTTCACACAGGGCTGCTATTCCTGCCTTGCTGCCCCTGGCAGATTGGCACAGCAGCTGTGCTCTGCAGGTGTTTCCAGCAAAGGCAATGGAAATTTGGCTGTTAACTTTAATCAGAACAGGAAGAGGCCCTGCTGGCCCAGCTGGCTGCAAGTTATGGCCAAGGTCTTAGGACTTGGTGCAAAGTCTCTTTGCAAATAGATTTATACTGGAACTGCCTGGTTTAGTTTCCTGTCCTTGAATCATCATGGAACTGATACATCTGGCTTCTTGGTGGTTCCACTTGGTGTTTTGCTTGCTTGCTTTTATGGCAGAGGTGCTGTACATGTGCTGGAGGGCACACAAAATATTGAAGCAGACCCTCAGCTGCTCCCCTGCTACTCAAGTTAATGGTGCTTGGGAAAAAAAAGAGTTGAGATGGGAATGCATCAAACTGTGGCAGCAAATAAATCCACAGGTGCTGGTGTGGCAGAATCCAGATGAAAGCATCCTGCGGGCAAAAACTATAGACAAAGGTGATACCAACTAGTTTGGCAATAGATACAGCTGGAAAAAGGAAACATGCTCCTGAGTGTGCTGTCAGTAATTACAGTAACACTACTGGCCTCTCCCTGCCAGCTCTCATTGCTTAACCACCACAGATCTGTCACAGCTACAAGGGCATTAATACTGTCAGATATAGGGATCTATTGCTAAGGATGGACAGGGAGGAAGGAAGGTCTTCAGTGTGAATCAGATGGTGTTGCTTTTAATTTTTTGCCAGCATTTATGCTGTTCCACACAGTTAAATTAGTTGCTGTGCAAAACCCTTTAACTGCCGTTTGAAGGGAAATAACCTCCTGGGAAGAGAGAGACTGAGAAATCAGAGGTCTGCATCTGAATCCCTTTAGTTGCTGTATTTGGTTTAGTGATGAATTGGTCTGTGGTTTGGGTTAGCTTTGAAACCATCTGGTCTCCTATTCAGAATTTTCTTTAAAAAAGACCAAAGATGTGCAATTTCCACAAAGAAGGCTTGCAGCAAAATACGAAGTTCCTGTTCCTTAGGAGAGTCCTGCTGCTACTCATGTCTGAGAGATACCTACTGGGGTTTGATGGAAAAGAAGCCCTAATTGACTCTAGTATGACCCCAGATTAGCTCTAGAGACAGACTTAGTTTTCCCCACTCATAACAAACGTGAAGTATCTACCTGGAGCCCCTCTTTGGGGTGTACACAGGGTGCTCCTCCTGAAGCCTGATTAACCTGAGCTGCCATAATTTTATCCCCTTTTTGAATGAGATATAAAAACATTCAAGGGAATAGCTGTTAATTTGTTATCAAGTGTTTTAAATGATGGCAAAATGAGGTGATCTTTCTTTGGAAGAGGCATGTCCACACAGGAAGTTAATCTGGGGTCCCTCTGTGGGGGGATCATGCCGCTTCTCTGCACAGAGGGGAGGGAAGGCACCTCCAGTGAGCTCATTCTTCTGCTTCAGCTCCTCTGGGCTCTTGGGGCTGCACAGCCACTGCCTTTAACATCCCAGTTTTCTCATTAGAAATTTCTGGGGCAGCAAGAAAAGAGATAAGAGGACTCATTACTCTCGAACCCTTTAGGTAATGTGATGTAAGCAATAACAAAATAAAGAATGGGTGGTGGCTGCTGAAAGAGCATGAAGATAGATACTGGCAGAGGAGAGCGTGAAACTGTTCAATTTTAAAGACCAACGTAGGCAGAACAGGCTGGATGCAGCTGAAAAATCTGGATTATGACTCATATCTACAAATCTTGGCTGGCATCTTGCAGAGGACATGGTAAGCTCTGTGCTAATGAAGCATGCAGTCTTTTGAAAAGTTTGCACCCCTTGCAGTCAGGAGTGCCTGCAGTTTTGTGTGCTGCTCACTTCCAGTGTCCTGGAGGTATGACCATCCATGGCTTCTTCGAATTGAAAAGACAGTCTTTTTGCATGTGGAGTACCAAGAGTGGTGCGAAGCCCTCACAGAAGTGTCCTGTGTTCTGTCCATTTCTCCCCAGCCCGTGCAATAATCTCTGGGAAACTGAGGTTTTTTCCTGAGGAGTGAAGTGCTTTCCTCTCTCTCTCTGGCTTGCCCTTAACTTAGCTTTGACACTTCTATAGTTTCAGCACTTATCAGAGCACAAATCATCCTCTCAGAGGCCCTTTGCTGTTGGGTTCTCTCCATTCACTTTGTTTGCTTCTCTGACCCACCCCATCATTTTATTTTTCTTCTCCACTGCAGTATGTAAGGCAGGAAATAACCTGGTTTCCTGAAGGTGAGGAACCAGGTAATGCTGGACCGCATTGTACCCAAACATGCTCCACCACCGTGAGCTGCTTTGGTTCAGCTTTCAAAAGCAGACTCAGCTGTAAACACTGAACATTTAGCTGCCAGGCAGAAACATGCACCTGAAGTTACAGTCTCCCTGAAACTCCCCTGCCAGTTGATGCCTGTGCTGTGTGCTCACTGGTCAAGGTGTCCTGCAAGTTGCCCCTTTGTGCAATAGAAAACGTCCCTCTGAGTTGTTGTCTTTCCCCTGCTCTAGGACAAGCACAACTTGCTGCTCAGCAGGACTGGCTGAGCAGAGCTGCCCAGCAGGGTGGTCCCATGCACTTCCAGTGCCCCCCTGCCTTTCTGCTTCTTGCCTGCTTCAAGACCTGTACGTGGGAATTTTCCCAGCTTTCCCTAAATAATGCTGCTGTGGCTCAAGAGGAGGAAGAGCAGGCACTCTTGATTCCTTTGCTTTCCTTCCAGGGAATGTTTTTCCGTTTGTGATCCTCCTGAGGAAAGAGGCTCTGATGGACTTAAACTGGACAGTGTTCTAGAAGGGGAACTCACCCTACCTCCCCAACTTGCTGGCCTCCCCAGCACTGATGGTTCCCATCTCCACCGCCAAAGCCAGCTGCTGTCACCTCTGTTCATCCCCTTGTGTGCTCTGGTAGTGTATGGACCCTGCTTTTGCAAAGACATTTTGTAGCTTACATTGCAGAACAAATCCAAGGGGTTTTTTCCTTCTGCTTGTTCGAGGCTCACTGCAAAGGACCAGCTCTGAGCCTAGCTTAGGGCACCACCTGAAAACCTACAACACCTTTCAGGGCTGTGAGTGGACAAGACCCCTCAAGATCTTCAAGTGAAATGTGTAAGTGAAGTAGAAGATGGGGAATAACATCAGTCCCATAGGGTATGACTAGCAAGGCCAAAATTGATCTGTCAAGTAGGAGGAGCACAGGACATGGCGAGGACTTGACAGCCATTTCCCAGGGATTTCCCTGATGCACAGCCCAGATCCAAATCCCACTCAAGGTCTGTTAGAGATGTGTACTCTTTGGATTGGGTATTTTCCACCTGAGCTGGACCAGCATCCTTCAGTGTCTCAGAGAGGTGACTCATACTGCTGCAGGCACAAAGCCCTCTACCCATGCACACCAGACACCTGAGTTGCCTTGGGGCTCATCTTAAGGCTAGGTCTGGCAGGCTGTGAGTGCTGCCTCTGTTCCCAGAATACATAAATGCCTGATCCAAACTCTTTTTGTCATCCTTGATGACTCCTGCTATTAAATCATTCCCCACTTTCCTCAGCTGAGAGCTTCTCCAGAATGTTTGGTATCAATGGCTTCTCTGATGCTTACTCAAACAGAATTTTTATTTTCCCCTCCCACACAGCTGCCGGTGGGAGGTACTGATTCATGCCAACGACCTTCCCAGTCCTGGAGTCCAAAGGCAGCCAGGGAGAGAGCTGAGCTCCTGCAACAGGCAGGGGCTGAAGCAGGTCCTCAGCAGGTGTCAGTGAAGTGAGTGGAGACAGGGCCATTTACACCAGTGGAGGATTTTCCCCCAGGAGTTTGAGGTGTTTTGGTATGCCTGGATATTTCGGGACGTATGGTTGTTAAATTCGGTGTACAACAGGCAGTATACATCCTGTATGAATGTGTCTATTGAGCATTGGTGATTCTGTGTGGGGCATATGTTTTCCCACAATACAGAAGTTCATTTTAAAAATACCCTACTCTGTAGGCTTTCCCTAATGACTGTTTTCCCACACACATCTATTAGGCAACAACATATGTCAGCATTTCTTCCTTAAAAGTAAAATCTGGCACATACATAACACACAGAGCATGAAATAATAAGATGTGATAAAACAGTAGCTGGAGCTAACCAAAGCCAGAAAACTCATGGCTGGAAGGTCAAGCCTTTGCAATGGCCTATTTGTTTGCAGGTGCTGTGAATTGAGAGGGAAAGTCTTGCAATGAAAGAACATCTGTCATGGAAAATTTTACCCTCAGTTCAAGCTGAACAAACTTTTACTCGCCCTGGAAAGTAGGTTCTTGTAATGGGAAATGTCAGTCAGCCTTAGGGCAGGTGACACTATCCAGCATTGTCTGCATTTCTGGGTAAGATACAGTACCTGAGCCAGAAATGCTGCTAAACGAGTGCTAAAATCAGCACCTCCCAGCCTGAGAAGCAGGGTTATTCTGTGATTACAGATACTAAGGTGGGGATGCTGTGCCCTGCAACATATTTTCAGTGTGCCTTTCACTAATTGGTTGGTTCTAAGTTCCCAGCAGCTTGTTTTGGGTATTTGGGAGCTTCAGAGAAAGAGTGAGAGGGCAGGACATACAAACTTACATCTTTGTCTAACAGCAACTCCTCTCAGAAGGCTGCAACTAGAGGTTGAAATAATAATAGAGGTTTTGTGTCTGTGGGCCAGGCCACTTGTTTAACAAGCAGCTCAGCATGTGTTCTGTGAGGCCAGCTTGTGTTTGCATCCTTAATCTCCTCATTTCTCCCTGGGTTTGGCTGGTCCCTAAGAGAGCATCACTGCTCTGGGCATGGGCTGGGGGCCGAGAGAGTGAGGACACAGCCAAAGGCGGCCATAGGATAACTGCTTATGTGTTCTTTTAAAACACTTCTTTCCTCCGTGGGATAGCTGGCTGTATGGAGGAGTTGCTTTGTTTTGTATTTAGGGGTGGCTTATTTTTGTGATCTGTGTTCTCACTCAGGAGAAAGGAAAGGTTGATCTTAGGCTTGAGATGTTGGTGCTGTAAAGCAGAAAGAGGCGCCCACAAGTCGAGTTCCACATGTAGTGATGAGAAACGTGTGTATGTGTAGACAAGTCCCATGTCTGGGTTTCTGTCTCTGGGAATGTTAATGCTGCTTGTCTGGTGTTCAAGAATAGACTTAAGGCACGTGAATCACTGAGAAAAAAAATCTTCTGGGATGAGGAGATACATACTGCTGTTTTCTAGGCTGGAGGAATCTTACCAAAGGCAGCAGTGAATGCAGTGGTGTGCTGGACAAGGATCTGTGCCACTTCCTCCTGTTCCCACTTCCACAGGTTGCTAGTGCTTGATGAGAGGAGATGTGTCAGCCCCCAGCCTGCCAAAAGGGGAAAGAAATGAAGCTGACAAAGTCCAGACTTTAGCATTTGAGTGCAGCAGGCACTCTTGACACCCCTGATCGTCCTTAGAGCTACTCAGCCTGGGTGGGTCAGTCAGCCTTGGGTGCTCCTAATCTTGAAAGGAGGTATCTTCTTAACTTTGTTCCCAGTGTGATTTTGCCACACTTGGCCCATTTGAGCCTGAATTTTCCCCCTGAGGCAGCCACCCAACTTCGATCTGCCTGGAGGAGGACAAGGCACGTGGAAACTCTTTTTTTGCCAAAGCCAGGACATGACACTTTGCAAGCTCAGTATGCCTCACATGAGAGTTGGCAAAACCACCCACTGTGGCTTCCTCTTTCTCATATCCAGGGTAGTAGAGTGTCTTTCATGGTCTCTTGTTCTGCTCTTCATGTTTGCATCACCTTTCCACCCTGAGGGTTACTAGACAAATTTACACTGACAGAGTATCTTCCAGGTATTTTCATTTCCTAAGGCTGCCTTTAAGCTTAAGCCTCTTAAACCTTTTTTATAAGCACACAGCATTTCACACAAAGAGCCTAAAAGTCTTAAAATCAGGGTATGCGAAAGAAAAATATTATATTCTACGGGGAAGAGATGGTAGCAAAATCTCCTCTTGCATTTTGTAGGTTTTGCTCTCTCTTTCATAGAGCCTTTTTGGAGCTGGATTTCTGTTCTTAGTGCCAGTGGGGATTAAAAAGGAGGTTATGGAAAATTTCTTTGGCAATTCCTTTTGCTGTGTGAGTATGGCTGTCATGAAATAGATCTCTCAGCACTGTGTTTTCAGTCTGGAATTATGTGCAAGGGCATAATTGGATTTTTTTTTCAGTACATATATCGTTCAGTAATAAAACCTTTACTTTGAAATAATTACAGTCTGTTGCAGAAATCTATATATTTTTATTCTACGAAATAGAAATTTGCCTCTGAAATTTCCATGATGCTATCAACAACAGAACAATATTGTTCTTACAAAACAGAACCGTTGCTGAGAGTCAAAGTGCTATAAATATTTAAAGAAATTAATTACTAAGTAAGCCAGACTAGCGCCCCAGTCTTTAAATATTAAATGGAACATATATAGTTGACAAAAGGCAGACAGAAACACTGAATGGGGCAATTTAATTGCCTAAATGAAATTATTTGTGGTGCAAAGGCAACTGTTAAAGTCATTTTTGCTTAATGAGAAGCAGTACTCAAAATACGAGGGCTGAAGTCGGCTTTTTTTTGCTTGCTGAAAGAAATTTCTATCCTGTTTTACATTCTACTGCACAAGCCTTGAACTTCACCATGAGGTTACCAGTGTGATTAATTGCATACTTTAAAAAAAAAAAATGCAGGGGCGGTTGGGCAGGGGTTGTTCTGTGGAGGAGTTTTTTGGGGGGAGCACCTCCGTGTGCAGCTCATCTGGGCCCAGGCTGGAGGGTGAGAGGCTCCAGTGCTCTCAGGATGCTCTCTGGCCATCAACTGCCTGGGAACTCCAGTCCTGCAGTGATGCCAAGCATCCAAAAGCCAGGCCAGAGAGACATGTTGGCAGCTTTTGGGGACTGTGCGTTGTCCAGGACTTGTCTCTGGTGAGGAGGGTGTTGGGGTGCCCTTACTTCCCCTCTTGTAGAGGAGGAGGCACCTGGGGCTGTGGAGGTGGCTTCTGTTGTCAGCAAGGCAATTTCATTATAGGTGAGACTTGGAGAAGATTAAGTCATAGCCAAATTTATAAAGCCATGAGTAATCATGTAAGGGCTTCTTAGGCCCCTGCTGCATTTTAGCTTGGTGGTTGGTTCATCTGGAGTGGTAGGTTTTGATTAGGACTCCAGCAGATCATCTTCTGGCAGCAGATCAGGTTAGAAGTGGCAGCACTGGCAAAATGAAGAGTCTCGTGACTAAAAATCCCAGCAGGAAATATGCATGTTGTTTCACATCAATGCCATCTTTCCTGTGGTAATTCCCAGTATAATTGCAAGAGCTAAGTTGCATTTACTGCCTGGAGCAAGCAAGGTCAGAGAGCTGCTATCAGGGAAGGACCTTGGAAGTGGCACTGCTTTTTGGTGGCAATCATGATGACAGTGCAGTATGGAAAAATTGTCCTTTGTTCCCTATGCCCCGAAGGCTGCTTTTCGTTTATGTACTTATTTTTGTATTGCAGCATAATCTAGTTTTCTGCCATCTGAGCTAACAAACACTGAGGGAGGAATGGCTGGGGGGGTGGAAATAGGTGTGTGTGAGCAGCATATGTGAAGATGTTCATGTGGAAAACCTGGGATGTTGGGGAAATGGTTGTGTTTATACTTAGTCTACCCTCTTTTGCCTTTGTTTTGGGTTTGGCTTCCTTTTGTGTTTGGTGTTTGGGTTTGTATGTTTTGGTGTTTTTTTTTTCTGGTGATACATTTACAGGTTCTGTAGCCTGTGAGTGTATCCAGAGGCCCTGAAGATTTATATTAGCTAGCACAGGGCTTTCTCCAGAAGACCACAGCAGTCTGTGTGTGTATTTTTCATATCCCTTAACAGTTATGACAGTTCTTGTAGGCAGATTTTAAACCTCTTTTTAGTCTGTCCATATAATATTTAACCTTATTTCTGTGCCATAGATATATTACTGAAGAACTGGAGCTAGAAGGATCCTGTGTGGAAGACAAGAGGGTTACAAGTGAGCAAAATCTTCTGCTTTTATAAAGAAGACCAAGAAAGACAACTCAAGAAGATTTGCACTGAACTTTTAAGGTTCTTCTGGTTCTGAAGGAGAAATACACTGTAAATTCTTTAGATTTCCTTTGAAGAAAGTTTTTGACACTAAAGAGAGGCTTTGACTGGAGGCATGTAAGAGATTTGGCACGCATATGGGCACATGCACCCCTGGAGGGTTGTCCCTTCTGCTTTACTGGCCCGTGTTTGGATCCAGTGGGGATGAGATCCAGCTGAGCCTGTTCCCTCTCCAGTGGGTGTGTGTGACGGATTTTAATTCCTCTGAAATCTTTCACCATATGAACTAAGAGGCACCTGATCCTGCCTCGCTGTAGAGCTACTAAGATGATAACTCAGTTCCTGGGGTATAGTTCAACTCTGTGTTGCATCTTGAATCTACTGTAACAGCTGGTGGGTAGATATATGTGTAGGGTGATGTATAAAAGCAGGAAAGCCTGAGCATCTGTGCAGATCCATTATCTGTTGTGTTGCAACTAGCATTGCATATGATAAGACCTCTGAAAGGATTTTTGTTGCTCTTACTGAATAGATGGTGTCCCTTAGGTGCTGGCTTTTCCAATTCAATTGTTTTTTTTCCAGATCCATCCCCTTACCACCTTCTGAATGAAAGAGCTGAGTTTGTTCACGAGATAGGCTGCAGTATTTTAATTCCATGAAAACTAATTGGCCCCCAAGAATGAAGATAATCCCACTAGCACATCTAATTAGAAGAGCAATCCTCATATTCCCCAAGCAGTCTCCTCTCGATTTAGGAGTTCAGACACAGAAATTTGCTTGTCATCCTTTCAAGTTCTGGCTTCTAGAATGAGCCAAATGTGTAATTTTTTTTAAAGCATTTGTATTTTAGAGAATCCAGCAGGATAAATACTGTTTATTTCATAGAGCAATGGATTGTCACAACATTGTGAGGCATGTATATCACTGCAGCTAAAGTACTGACACATCTGAGAAGGGAGGTTTGGGGTGTGCCACTCACAACCGATCAAGTGAAATACGCCACTGCCTGCAGTAATCCTGATTTAGTGCAGTCACATCTTGCTCCTACTCTGAGGGGAAACTCATCCCAGCTCATACCTGGCTGCAAGAGTCCATGCGAAGCAACATTGTTTTGAATATAGAGTCTGACTGAATTAACTGTGGGCAAGATGCTTGGATGCTCTGGTTTTCCAGTGCGGACAAAATGTCTGCTGGATTGTGTTTTGAAATCCTACCCTGAAGGTGGAGTTAGATATGTACTCCATCCAGTTCTGTTCCTGGACCTGTAACAGACCTTCTGCAAAACTTGCAAATCTTTGTAACTTCAGTTCTGATCAAATCTGACGGCGTGAACATGTGCTCCCGTGTAGACCCTGATGTAACTGGTGGCAGAACATTCCCCAGCAGTGCTTTGACATCTTCATTTGCCAATGGCAAATACAGGACTCCTTGACCCTTCAGGATCAGCCCACACAATGCTGAGATGAGGGAGCATTTCAGAGAAATCCTGCAAGCCAAATACAAACCAACTGTCGCAGAGAAAACAGCTGAGAAGCCCCAGTGATTCCTGCTGTGGTGCAGGGGATGCATTAGAAGCTGTGTGAGGCAGCTGGGTGTGGGACTGCCTAATCTCACCTCTCTCTTCTGCAGCAAGAAGAATTCTGTAGTGGTGGTTGTAGTGACTATCAACAGGACTTGTGCAATACAGGTACTTAGTGAGAGTTCTTCATAGAAACTAAAAGAGCTGGCTATTTTTATTCAGCATCTTTGTATCACTTGCCCCTTTTGTCTGTCATGTTCAAGATAAGTGTAGCCAGGCAAACGCTGGAGTAGAGCAGTTACACAAGGATAACGAGAGTGCTATTTATATGCCTGGAGAAGCAGAGAAGGCTTAAAAGGCAAATGTTTTGCTTAAAATTCTTTCTTATGAGCAGCTGAGAAGGTTGAGGACAGGCTGAATCCCCACACAGACAGAGGAGGACATGGGACCTTGGAGCCAGTGAAATTCGTCATCGTCTTTTGAATCAGATTCTTGATTTCCCAAGGCCAAGGGTGGTGATTTCCAAAGAAGCATCTGCTTCTTTGGGGAGATTGGGGCTTGCATAGGCAATATAGGAACAGAATGCAGGAGGGGGAGGCTGAGAGAAGACTGAGAGAAGATGTTGCAGATGTTCTTTCCACGGTGGCCATGCAACTGGGTTCTGTTATTTTGCAGGAATTGTAATCCAAATGCAAGATGAACAAGGTGTCAGGTTTCGCCTCCTGGTGTTAAAGGCTGTCTTCTAAAACAGGCTTCAAATGGAGCTGAAGTTCCTGCTTCCTTTGTGCACCAGTGAAGCCTCATGTGAGTTTAACTGGAGTATTGTTCTTGTGTCCTGTTTTATATGTTTAAAGGCTATATGGTTATAGCAGCCTGGCATTGTTAATAAAATAATACACAGAACAATAACAGAAATAACTGCCAGTTTGATGTATAGATCCATTGTCCTCCGTGAACACTGGCAATCAGAGAGCCATCTGCTAAGCTCTGAGGACAAACAAAGAAAACCGAAAAACACACATAATTTGGAGATGGCCCTCGGAGGGTTAATGAAAAGAAAACCAAAATAGATTCAGAGCTTTGCCTGCTTTTGAAGCGAACTGGGCGGAGCATTTGGACTTGCTCTGTGGAGAGCTCGTCATAGCTGTCATAAGGACTAATTGGGACAGTGGGGGCTATTAAAGAAAATTATATAAAATTTGATGTCTGTAGGTTTTCTCTGGCTCCCCAGAGCATCATCACAGTAAATAAGAGATTTGCCTGCAGAGATGGATGCTAAGAGCAGTGATTTCCATGGTAAAACTCTTGAGGAACACTGCATGTCATTCGTTCACCAGATGACATAAGTACCAGGATCACTTTGTAGTCATTCTCTGGTTCTGGGTTTGCTCTGTGCGGGGGTAGGGGAAGGCTGTGAGAAGGGGGCAACGATTTGAGGGGAAGGGACAAAAACCTTCCAGGAAGAAAAGGCTGCTGCAGCGCCTGAAGAGGCTTTGATCAGAAATGGATGTGGAAAGCAGCGGTGATTCCTTGTGAAAGCTGTTTAAGAGGGATGGATTACCGCACCTCCTCCCTGTAGGTAGAGGCTCAGCATCCTCTGACGGTGGGAAAGACCTAAGGACGATAGCACATCCTCTTAGCTGGAGAAAGAGGCAGGGAAGCCCCGCTTTTCCCCTTTTCCGAGGAATGGCGGGGCGGGGGGATGCAAAGGGGTCTCGCAAGTACCTAAGCGGAGGGCAGGAAGAACGGATGCGGTAGTCGCCAAGGAAAGGGGAAACGCGCTCGGCTTTGCCAGCGTGCGGAGAACTTGCCCTGTGCGGAGGGGCCGGGATGGAGGGGAGGGGGCGGCGGCGGCGCCGCGGGGGGAGCGCAGGGCGGTGGGGGCGGCGGCGGCACCGCCCCCGGGGGCTCGCGGTGACGCAGCTCCCGGCGGGGCCCCCCGCCCGTCCCCTCCGCCCCCAGTCCCTCTTTTAAGCAGCGCCGAGCCGAGCGCAGCCGAGCCGAGATGGGGCCGCCGGCGCTGCTCGCCCTCCTGGGCGCCGCCGCCCTGGCAGGTGAGCGGGACCGCGGGCGCGGCACCTCCCGATGGATGGAGCGGGAGGCGAGGGAACAGCCCCGCCGGGCGCCGGGTGGGGATGGACGGGTGCCCTCCTGAAGGGGTTCCCGGAGGGGTGACGCCGCCCGCGGGTGCGGGGCATCGCGCCCGGCCCGCCCTGCGGCACCCCCGGGGTGCGGGGGAGGGCGCGGTGGGATGGAGCTGCGCGAGGGATCGGCTGCTCTTCCTTTATTTTTATCCCAGCACAGCATCTTTCCACAAAGACTTCTCGGTGTCATTTTATTACAAGGGTACCGCAAGTTTTTTTGCCAGCCAGTGCTTGATACCGATGGTAAAGTATCGGCGCTGCAGCTTTAACTAGCAGGATTTTTAAAAATATTTTTTGTGGCATGCAGCATTAAATATTGAAACCCCACCGTGAAATGAACTTTGAACACGATAGAATGAGATGATGGCTTGGCTTTATAGTACCTACTACATCTTTGCTTGAAAGAGTCAGTGTCATTCTGGGTTGAGTAATTTGGCTTTAGGTCTATCAGAAGTCTCCACATGGAAACACTTCTGGGACTTGTGCAGAGACTGTAAGGAAGTTGACTACCTTCACGTGCCTTTATTGAAATCAAAAAGGGAGGGTGGAAGATGGGGGAAGAGACCCCAACACAGAGGATCTCACCAGACTTATCCCACACATCTATGGGCATTTATTATCTAATATTTTTTCCTATTTATGCCATCAAACAGATCAGATACTTCTTTATATGCTTTGTGGCTGTCTTGCTTTCATATGTCAAATCAGTGAAACATTAACTTCAAGAACTTTCTAGTACTCCTGCAAATCTATATGCCAAAGTTTAGTTATCCTTCCTAGGAAGACATTGCTGACGCTTTGGTGAGGAATGACACTGCACTGAGTCATCAGCATTAATGAAAGAAAGCCATGTGGGGATTTCATCATAAACCCACCCAAAGATCTGTCTCAGTCTTGGAGATGCAAGCAAAAGCAGTGTGGATTTGTCCTGCGTTTTTCATCATTTTTCATGATATTCAACAACTCTCAGCACTGAGGCAAAAATCAGATAATCTGATTGTAACTGCCTGGGCAGACTTGGTTCAGGAGGGTAAAGCAGACCCAGGGCTTTGCTTTATTTTGTAGGTCTGTGGTCTGTTTTTCTCTGCATGGAGAGGGGAAAGGTTTCCCTGTTGGCATGTGTTCTGACTTTGTTTCTCCTGTGAAGCCCTGCAGTTGTACCATCTGCTGGGTCCCTGCAAACCCAGTGGGTGGGTGCCCTGCTGCCTGACTGTTGTTGGTGTCAGGGGGAGCACATGTGGAGAGGAAGGCAGACACGCTGGCCAGCCATCTTCACCTAGCAGGTGGCCCCAAGGGAGCTCTTGCCAGCTGGCACGGGCTGGCACTGCCAGCACTGGTGTAAAGTGGGGCATGCTGGCTCCTCCCTGGCTTCCTATCTCAGCTCTGGCAGAGCAGCTGCCTCAATGTATTATTTCAGGCTGTGAGATGGATTGGATGCTCATCTTATTTCTCCAGGCAGGTTAATATGACATATGCCCAATACCATTTGCTTCTTCTGGCATTGTTATGAGAGCCTGATGCTTCCTCTTTGTGTGTGTCGGCTTTTACTGTTAACCTGGCACTTGCTGAGATGTGAGCTTTTGGATGACCTGGCAAAGGCAGTGAACACAACCTGACTTCATATTCCTGTGCCATTGATGGCTGGAGAGGTAGCCTGAAGTTGGCATCTGTAGTAGCAAAAGATGTTCAGAAGTTGGTCTGTTCTGTGCTTTATCACATCACCTGGGTGTAACTCACAGGAGAGGTGCTGTGACTAAAAGGACAAAAATCAAGATGTTTGCCCTTGTGCATGGCGTGATTTCTCATGGGCTGGAGGACCAGAGGGGTCTCTCCAAAAAGACGCAATGAAACAGGTCATCCCCTCTGCTTTCATGCCAAATGGTGACTGTGAGCAGCTCATGCCATTAGAGCAGCATCTCCAACACCTGTGGGATCAAGAGAGTGTCCTTTTAGTGGATAACACTATTTTTTAGTAGAAGAGACTTTGCTGCCAGTCTCCTGCCCCCACGTGCATGTACATCCTTATTCTCCATGCTCAGATGGGTCCTGCAGGCAGGTTGGACTGCAGCAGCGTCAGTGCTGTGCTGTGTGGTAGTTATTTGCATACTGGGTCAGTAAAGGAGCCTAAAGCCTGGCTCCTAAAGCACTGAACACAAAAGGTGTGGGAGAGGGTTGGCTCTGAGCACGATCTCCCCCCACACACCACCTGGCATTCTGGGGAAATGATGGAGTGCTATTTTAGGGGAATCCCTTCTGTGCTATCCTTGTGTGGGTTCCCTTCTCTGATCTCAGTTGTGTACGCAGAGAAGAGATGGGGGCTGGAGAAGCACATTCCTACATATGTGTTTGGGGGAGCAGAAATAGAGGGCAGTAGAAATATCAAGAGAGTTAATATTGTGTTATGTTCTTCTATTACGCACTGAGTCAGTGCTCAAGGGGATGTCTGCTTCCTCTGCAAACACAGAAAATAAAGGTTTTATTGCTTTAAACAGTGCAAGGCTACATGCTCCTGTGTGCTTTGCAGGAAGCTTCCTTGGGGCAGTGCTAGGTCTCCTAATGCTGTACGGTGAACTGACCTCCTTTGTCTACAAAATGTGCTTTGTGTTCCTGTGTTACGGATCTCTCACTGTCCCACCAAGCAGTATGGCAGAGAGAGCAATAGTCATATTTAAGACTATCCTGACTCGTATAAGAACTTCAGAACTGCACCCCAAGCTGTGTGTTTGTGTACTCTGACTCTATACTGTGTGGGGAGTCTGTGAAGCCATGGTAGAATAGGGCTTGCTTCTACATACTCTTGTGTTGCTGGTGGGTGTGCCTAACTTCACTTCTGGAAATCTCAAGGTGGATGAGAATTGACACAGTTAATTATACATCCAAGCTCAATAACCAGCTGGAGATGTACTGCAGCAGTGATGGTAAAATAAACCAGAATGGAGGTTTTGTTTGCAGTAGCTTCTTTACAGAAGCAAATATCTTGGACCAGGTACAACTGAAGTGGCACAAGAAGGTGTTAGTTACCCTACTTGTCCACAGGACAAATAGACATGTGTTGTACTGCTTCCTTCCAGAGTAGTTTTCTGCTGGGATTTGGGTTTTTTTGCTTATTTGTTGAAGTGATAATGGACCACTCAGTGAATGGAAATTTTCCTGTGCCTTTTGGCTCTCTCCTTCCCTGCAGCTTCCTATCCAAGCTGCTTTAAAATCTTGAAGAATAGTCTCCTCTTGGAAGGGGGTTGCACTTAGAGCCCCTTGCAGAAACCAAAAGGTTCTTGGGGTGCAAACAGGCCTTGCTTGTTTCCTGTTTGGGGTGGGGTTTTGTGGGATTTTTTGTTTCTTTGTTTTTGTTTGTTTGGGTTTTTTATTTGGTTTTTTTTGTTGTTGTTGTTGTTTGGTTTGGTTTTGGTTTTTTTGTTTCATTTCGGTTTTTGTTTGTTTTGTGTTTTATGTGGTTTTTTGTTTCCCTTTTTTTTCGTTTTTTTTGATTGGTTGGTTGGTTGGTTTTTTGGTGGTGGTGTTTTTTTGGGGTGGGATTTTTTTGGTGGTGTATATTCTTTTAGTGCTAGAAATGTTAACATGCCTCTTCTCTCATGCTGTGCTGCGATCTTACATTGCTTTTCCATCCGAAAAAGGAAAGATTTAATGTGGAATGTACCTTGTTTGCTGACCAGCCAACCCAAAACTCAAGCCATCTCATCAGACCGATTTGACTGACAACTCCTGTCACTGGTGCTTGTTGCCAGTATTAATGAGTCTGTAATAATTTGTTTTTCTTCCAGGTGTCAGCGCAGTTCCAGTAGAAAAAGACCGTACTGAAGAAATGGTGAGTGGCTGTGTGTCAGAGCAAACTTCAGAAAATTATCAGTGATGTATTCTCCATGTTCTGTCTCTAAACTCTCGGGGTAATGCTTTTTTTCCTGAGGGTAAACTCTTAACAGATCGTTGCTGATGTGGAACTGAGAGTCCCTTTAGCTGTCAGAAGATACCTGTGTGCACTTCAATGCACTTGATGGAAAGAGAAGCTGTGCTCGTGTCAGTGTGGTGCTTCTGGAACTGTGCATTGTACAGCTTCCTGAAAAATGAACTGAAATGTTTGACAGTACATGATACTGTACTGGATAAAGTGAGATGGCAGCTTTGAGGAAAGATGAAATATCTACAGTTACCAACTATACAACAGACTTTCTAATATAGTCCTCCCGTCTCCTGCTTTAGAAAGAGATTCTTAACTTGTGTAATTAAATAAATGCCGTCACCTCAGACCCTCTGCTCTGGTTGTTAATGTGATCATTTAGATTAGTAAACACGTGATAATAGCTAAAAATAATTAAAACATAAACTCCATAAACGTTTTATTGTCTCTTCCCAGTCAGCCACCCAGATTGTTGACATGAAGCTCTTGTACCCCCAGTGTTTGCTCACAACCAACAACTTCAACACTTGAAAATCATTTTATACGGAGGAGCTACGTTGGTAGCACTTAAAATTAGAGGAGGTTGTGTGACTTTCCTAAATCAACTTCCTCTGCTTCCAGAGGACTATTCAGTTGAATGTTAAGCGCTAAAAGCCAGGCAGGGCTTACAGCACACACACATGAAAAGATGTGGAGCATGTCACTCACAGAGGACACCGAGGTGGGTTTGCTTTATTGGCAACCCAAACTACCTTTGCACCTTTGCAGCATCCTCATTTGGACAGATCCTACAGGATGATTCTCCGTCCTTTGCATGTGTGTTGTGTTTGGGGTTTTTTGTAGGGTGCTGTTACCTCATGTTGTTTGACTCTCCTTTGTACTGAGTAGGGTATTTAATATGTAAAAAGGTACAAAAGGAGCCTTTAGGTGTGCAAACAAAAGGGGAGATAAAAAGAGCTTGTGACTATTCTCTTCTTACTGATACTGTGAGGAGCAAAGCAGTTGATGGCCAAAGGCACAAGAATTTGTGTTAGAGCTGGGGATTACTCAAAACTCATTAACAGTAGCCTGAACTAATCCTAAACTAGCTTCTCTACCAACTGGATCAGTAGTAAGATTTCCATTTTTGCCATGAGAATTTCTTCCCCTATTTTGTCTCTTCTAGGTAACCCAGTGCATAGTGGAAGTTCTGTCCAATGCTCTGTCTAAGACAAATGCACCACCAATTAATCCTGAATGCAAGGAAATCCTGAAGAAGAGTAAGTACAACATTACCTGAACTTGTCAGAGGACTTTAGATGGTTTCTGTCTTGCATCGGAGCTGGTGAACTGTTATTTCAACCTCCAAATTTTGGTATCAAAATTCTGATTTCCTTCTATTTAGTCTGTCTCACTCAAAGACCAAACAGCCTGACCTGGTAATTGTCAGGGATTCTTGGCTAACACTTGTGGCTCTCTACTTAAACCACTCGGAGAGTCTGAGAGAATTTGACGGACTCTTTAGGTAGCCTGAAAAGTCAAAAATGTGACCATGTTTGGACCACGTGCTGAATGTATTCCAGAGGATAGGAACTGTCTTCACATCAAATCAGCATTTAAATCAACAAGGCAACTGAGTCCATGAACACTGTCTCCTCCTTGTTTAAACAGGAAAGAAGGTAGGGTTTACACTTTGGTAAAACATGTATTTTTATCTAACTCAGCCCCAGATTCCTAGGAAATGCTGAATGCCATCAAGCTTAGTTTGTGACATTGTAATTTCAGGAAAAAATCCCCCGCCCTGTATATTTGTCATGTTTTGGAAAATAAAAAAACAGGTATTGGAAAGAGAGGGTAAGCACCATATTTTTGCCCTTAGGCAGATCCAAGAGTAGCAGATGATGAGAAAGTTCTCATAAATAGTGAGCTATTTCTAAATCTATGCAGATATTGTCTGAAAACTTTGAGAATTTGTGATCTATTTCTGATGTTACTAAGACTCAAGTGAAGCAGAAATATCTTCATAGAAGTATGTTGTTACACATACAGTCAAAGTCAGACTTTCATTTAACATTTCAGAAATAGTGGAAGGAATGTGATTTGATTAAACATAACTATTGCAAAGCAACAGATTTCTTTAATTTTTTTTCAGTCAACTTAAACACTTTAAAATTTGCTAAAACCCCCTAATATTTTCAAGTAGCTTGAAACAGGTGGTTGTCTTTTTTGTGAATAATCATATGTGATGGGTAGGGCCTGACACTCAAACAACTGAACACAACTCTAGATTCAACTGATTTTTAGTGGAAATGAAAGCTAATTTATTTCAATACTTAAAAACATGATGGCAAACAAAGAAAAAAGCCAAAGAGGAAAAATTATTCTGGAAATTCCAGGGGAGCTTCTAAGATGCTTAATTAAATGAAAGTTAGTTCATCCTCTTCTAGGTAAGCGTACAAAATATTAGCAAATTACTAATTTTAAAAGCAGAATTAAGAAAATCAATTCTGTCCAAATCTTCTTGCTACTTTGTGAAGCCAGTTGTCTATTTGCACTGAAATAACACTTCATTGGAGAGTTGGATTACTCCATTGTGCTGCTCTTGGTGTTACAGGTGGTAGAAATGACAGAGAGAGAAGTGAAAGCAAACAACTTGAAGTGAGGCATTCCAAAGACACAGTAGAGACTGAAAAACATCATACTGGGAGCATGGAGCAAGAACAAAGTCAGGCAGAAGAGGAATATAAAAACTACATGAAAGAAAGTGATGAGGAGAAACTTGCTCATGAGGAAGGTAAAAGCACGGAAGAGGAGGCTGGACACCACATGCCTGCTCAGGATGAGAGTCTTTACACAGGAGAAAAAACCCACTATCAGGAAACTGGAAGAGAGGAGGAGAAGAATTACCACAGTGAAGAAGGAAGCAAAGAGAGCAGGTGTTGTGATGAAGGTGTGGAACATGCTGTTCTCAACAAGAAGTCTCACTCTGGAGGCACGAGCACAGATTTCCGTGATGGGAATGATCAGCACCCCTTGGGCCGCTGGCACTTGGAGGAGGGAACGCAGAGCCCTTACAAACAAATTCATGAAGGTGAAGAGGGAGAGGAAGAAAGAAGTGAAAAGTACCACCATGAGTCTAAGGAACGTGATTTCTCCCATCAGCAAGAGCGTGAAGAATCTGATGAGAGTGAAGAAACAGAAGAGGAAAAGCAACTCTACAAACCCAAACGATACCATGGGAAGCACAGAGTGGGTGGCTCCTATGAAGACAAGAGGGGTCATGGTGGTGGGAAAGGGGAAGTAACTGAGGAATCAGACACAGAGGACACCCATCTCTGGAACCATCAGAAACAGCGTGAAGAGCAGCGTGAGGAGAAGAGTGGTTATCATGGGGGGCGTGGGTCTGAGGAGGCGAAGGAGAAGAGGCTTTCAATCCAGGGAATTGAGAAGTACAGAGACAGGTGGCAGCAGAGGGAAGAGAGCAGTGAAGAGAGCAGTGAAGAGAGCAGTGAAGAAGAAAACAAGAGGTATCACCACAGTGCAGAAAGTAATGAGAAATGGCACAAGGAGAGGAGACGTCACGATGGATCACGTGAGGCCAGGAGGCACCGTTCCGAGGGAAGGACGTATCTTGCAGATGAAAATGAGGAAGAGCCGGGCAGTAACCACAGTTACCTCAGTGGTGGCAGCAAGGAGAAGCAGCATCATGCTGGAGGAAGATACCTCTGGAATAATGAAGAGGAAGGGTCACAGAAAGCATCTGCCTGGGAGCACCGAGGGCAGGCCAGGAGGTACCACAGCACCGAGGATGGGGGGGAGCAGCAGCGCTACCCCAGCTACAGTGAGGAGGAGGAGGAGGTAGAAAAGAAGCATCACAGCAGTGATCAGGTGGAAAATGAAGAGGAGGAAAGATATGCCAAGAGGGAGGAGTACAGAGGCCGTCTCCCTGCAGAGAATGAGAAGAGAACCCCAGCATCCTACAGCCCTTTCTACCCACTGCTGTGGTGGAAAAGCCGGCACTTTGAGAAGAGGGACAGCACAGGAGAGCAGCTTTTGGAGGGCAAAGAGGATAACAAGCCTGCTCTGAATGAGAAGAGTCTTTTCCCTGACTATGATGATGATGAGTGGTGGGAGGAAAAGCAAATCCTGAGTGCTCTGAAGCACAAACGCGCTGAGAAGAGGAATCCCAGCAAAATTAACAGAAATGATGTGGAAAGACAATACAGCAAGATGGATCAACTTGCACAGCTTCTGAATTACAGGAAGAAATCAGCTGAATTCCCAGAGTTGTACAGTTCTGGAGAAGACCTGAAAAAACGTCACGTAACTGGGAACGACAGAAGAAATCTAAGCCAGAGGCCTCTGACGGAAGAGGAGGTATGTGTACAGGTGTTTCTCTGAAAAGCTGGAAAAGCTTCAAATGCACATTTCCAAATCCATTCCCAAGGCAGCTGGTAAACTGTGCATGGAAAAACACAAACAAGATTAAGTCACGTTGAGAGTCAGATGTTCAGTGACCTAAAAATCTGCTGTCTTTGAACGGTGAAACTGTGAATTGGGTGAACTACCCCAGGGCACAGTTTATAAAATAAAGACATTAGCTTCTGTCTGCTGCAAGACAGGAAGGGAAAGGAGATTTTCTTCCCCCCTGGACCCTACCTCTCCCTGTCAGGTGTTACAGACTAATAAAACAAAGATGCCAGTGGCAGCAGGAGCAGAGAGGTCACTCACAAACACCACTTGGTCTGTCGGGTTATTTAAAGCACATAGTTGGCAAGTAACTTGGATGTTTAGAGTGAAATCAGCTGTCTATAGGCTTCCCAGTCACTGGGAGCAGTGGAGGCTTAATACTGATTTATACAGACGTTGGATGGTGTTAGCAAGTCATAATAAACAAGAATTGGCAGCATAAAGCTTCTCCTACTCTCTGTTATTGTGGAGATGTTCCTCTCGCTGCACACTGTGCTTGCTACGTGTCAAAAGCCCGAACCACTGCGATTGTCAGGCTGTGGCTTCCTAAAGGACCTTCACCTGAGCAGAAGGGACTGCAGCTGTGAGAGAGCAGGACATCCCCCCCTAGATAACGGTGCTTTAAATCTAGAATGATTAGGCTGTAATTAGAGCCAGCTCTCAGAATGAGTATTTTGATACTTTCCCCATGCCTAATTCAGATAAAGGCAGGAAATTGCACAAAGTATATGCTGTTAACACCTCTTACCCCAGCAGTCTGCTCAGGGACCATTAAGTAGCAGATCATCTGCCTTAGAAATGGCCTTTTCTGTCGTTTTCATGGAACAAAATATTTGCCAACGTTATTTGATGAGTAAAATGCTCTTTATGTTTTCACAGGAAAAAGAACTGCAAAACCTGGCCGCTATGGATTTGGAGCTGCAGAGTATAGCAGAGAAGTTGAACAGCCTCAGGAGAGGCTGAAGGTGTTTGGGGTTGCAGAGATTGGTGTAGCTGTACTTGCTGTACCCGTGTTCTGTGGTAAATTCACTGCCACTGGATTGTTGTTTGCCCTAAACCCAGGAAATACTGTTTACTGTCCACTATAGTGTAGTGATTTATACAGCTGAAAATGTCTTTAATTTGCTGCTATGCTACTGAGATCTGAATGGCATGAATTTTATCATAACCTTTCATGTGGGCAGGTATTTTTAATAGGCTTTTGAAAATAATTGTGTTAGTGTTCTTCAGAAATATATTTGTCTGAGTTTGCAATAATAAAAACCATTGATCTTGGACCAAACTTTCTCCTTGCTTACTTGACTGATTGGGTTATTTCAGGATTATTTGTATCACTTACATGAGTGAGGGGGGTGTGGAAGGAGTCTTTTGGTGATCCTAGGACACTACAAAGCAGTAAAATAAATGATCCCATAATTAGTTTCAATTACTCCAAATATCTGGAGTTCAATTTAACTACTTATCCAAATGTGGTTTTTACAGCCCTTGTGCTGTGCTGGTGTCTCATATTCACGTGTTTCAATTGAAATAGGAACAATGGTACCTCAAGACATGCTCTTCAGCTATTACCTACAGAATACCTTCTGTCATTTTGAAATATCACTGATTTATTTCCTTTTCCTTATTGTTTTTCCTTGGTACAAACATTATGGCTCATTTGGAAACTGGGAAACAGGATTCAGGATCGGGGCCACGTTTGTGTTAATGCTGGTGAAATGCAGCCTGTTTGGCTTTGACCTAAACTAACTTTTCAGGTGTTCCAATATTGTTTATTTCTCAAACTGATCTTTTAATTATACAAATTTTTTTTCTCGTGCTATTGTTTTTATCGCCACAGTGTATGTGAGATGTAGGATTTAAAACATGCTGGTAGTTTACCTTTTACTGTTTAAGTTTTCACACCTTTGTAGTGCCATAGATACGACACCTGTGTAACCTGCCAGCCCAACAGAAGTGGCAGAGAAGTAGAACCTGTGCCTGCTTTACAGGTGAGAGAAATGAAGCACAAGATAGTTTTTCATTATTAGTCTCCTGGCTTACATGGATTTCATCCTTTCCCAAGCTTCCAGGGTCCTGTCCGTTGCTCTAAGCTGTGTGATCTCAGGATTTCATCACATCCTGGATGTTGGCTGCTTTCAAAGGCCCAGTTTCCCTTCAGTACGTACGTGTGGACACACATCCAGCGCTTCGCTACGGGTTCCTCAGAGAAGTTGGGAAATCCAGAATTTTAAAAAAAGCTTCACATTTCTGTTCTCTCATGTGATCTGTCACACTTGGCATTGTAAGGAAGGGTGAGAGAGGCAAAGCACATTTTTCAGATCCACAGGGCAGGTGGAACACAGAGATGGTGAAACCTGCATCCTCTCCACTGATGGGTTTTTCACATAAGTAGAAGAAAAGAGAAGAAACTTTCCATAAAAGGAGAAAAACAACACAGGAAAGTTTGCAGAACCCAGCAGTAGATAAAACCTGAAATACCTTCTACCTGTTTTCCTAAGAGAAATCCTTAACTGCTTCTTTACGCTGAATATAACCCGTTTTGAGCTAATGGTCCCCCAAAATACAGAATTTTACAGCTTTATGAAGTCTGATTACTTGATCCCAAAGCTCCAGGGTCTGTCCAGTCAGTCCAGAACCTGGTAAGTAAGTTCAAGAGCAGAAGCCAAGTCCTTCTGGCCCTACGAGCTCCCACATGGACCTAAAGCTCTGACCAGGGGTGCACTGGGGTGCAGACAGCAAAGGTGTTCTCCTGAAGCCTATGCTAGACCTTTTTATTTCCAACAAGAGGGAAAAGTAAGAAAAAGAAGATAAATCTCATTAGGAAAAACACCCTGCAGTTTAATTGACATGGCAAATGCAAAGTTAAAAAAAAAAATCAATAAAAAAGCTGACATCCTGAAAGATCAAACAGTAGAATAAATATATATACATATAGCAGTCTTCAAAATAGTAGTATCTTAAAAATAGATAACAACTCTCAGGAAAATGACAGACAATACTAATAGAGACATTCTGTTTAAATACTTAGTATTTTAATTTAAGAACATGCACTTTCTCTTCTGTATCTATTTCAGGAAAACATGGGGTCATGCTGTAAACATGGGGTCATGTCTAACATTAGTTTCTCTTTTTATTGTTCCTTTGGAAAAAGAAGTGTGTGATTTTTTTTTTCCCTGTTCATTCTACTTTCTTAAATTACTGAAAACAGCCGAGTTCTGTGTCCAAAGGGGGAGCAGATCACACAGAATGCTGACGAGAACTCTCTGATGCTGCTCTGGGAAAACGGAAAGCCAAGTTAGATGTGTTGATTCGGATTCAACCTTTTAAAAAACTACATCATATTCAACTTTGGCAACAAACAAACAGAATGCCTTCACTGATGCTTTATCTTCCTTGATCTCTTCTTTCTGAAGTTACCATGATTTCAGTGTGCTGTTTGCTTCCAGGGCTGCTTCTTCACATTCAGATCATGTAAACTGCTAAGGAGTGAGACAATCCTCCCACCACACAGTTCTGCTGCTTTTTCTGACAGATGTGTGACAGGTACAATTCCTGTGCTGCCAAGAGCACTGAAAGTATAGGTATTTTACTAACAGTAAGACTCCCGAGATTTAAAAAACCAAATCAATTCTCCAAATGTTAACAATGAAGATCTTGAACTTTGCATCTTTTAGGTGATGGCTCCTCCATCTTCAGTGCTTCTAAACTACTGGAATCAGATTTGCCCTTATCCAAGACAACAGTGATGCCAGACAGAAGGTACCCCCCGCCTCCACTCATTGTCAGTTTTGGATGGCTTCGATCTGGTAAGACCTTTAAAAAAAGCAAACAACAAAACACACCCAAAACCCACACCACAACAAGCACCTGTAAAAGCTCACTCTATATCTGCACATCATGTTGTGTAATTTCAGCTTACAGTATTGGATGTAAATTTTTTTTCCAGCCACAACAACAAACAGCCATTTGGGAAAGTGTATTTATCTATAAAGGGCAAAGTATCTGCAGGTGAGAATCCAGTTATAGAAATATGTAAGCATACAGGCTACTGCCTTACTGATTAATTCTTTGTGGCATTTCCACCAAAATTGTAAAGTCAAGCTTTGGGTTGCATGGAAGTCCCCATTATGTGATCAGAAGTGGTGTATTTGGAACCACAGCTGATCTTACAAAACAGCTGGAAGGAATACAGGAATTTCCAGTTCTGTCACTACCACCTTTATGTAGCTTAAGGTAAGACATGAAATGAACCATCATTTTCAGATGCGTTACACTCTTTGCAAAGGACTTCTCTTCAGATATTTCCTCCTTGCTCTGACTGCCACTGCAGGTCTGAACTGACTGACCTGTGTCTAGGATACAGTAACCCTTGCCAAGCCTACCTGGTGTGAACATCTATGGATCTCCTGGTCATTCCCAATTTTATTGCCCAATAAGTAAGTCAGTAATCGTGGCCACCCTTGAATTAAGTCATCCCCTAAATAATAATTGCTTAGGGACTCCAGAAGCTCTTGGGCAAGGAGAAAGCCAGTGAATGGACCTCCTTCAGAGGTGGTGAGCTGCTCCTCAGAGAGGGTTCTGCTTCTTCAGAGATGGAGCAGCAACTCATTTTCCCACAAACATCTTGTTCAAACAAAGTCAGTCATGCTGACATTTCTCACTGTGGTGATATTTTCACCTCTCATCGTGTTTTTATTTTTCAGTTCCCAGACCAGAAACTTGTTACTTGGGTTCCAGGAAATGTGCTATTTGAAGATGATAATTTTATAAGTCACGACCACTCTCAACATTACACATCTTTTTCAGCTGTCAAACCAGCTGGAAACGAATAAACACTTGTAGCAAAATATTACATCTCTCTCACATGACAATGCTTTAGGTTAGCCACTAAAGCCCAACACTTTGCTACAAATATTTCAGCAAGTGCTTAAGTGAAATGCTTTGTGAGAAGAAAATAAAGTATTTCCATTTGAAATGGTTACAATGAAGCATTAAAACTCTTCAGAATACCCCCTACTTATGGGTAAAACAAATGCATGAGCTTATACATTGTTTCAGTCAGTCCAAAATTTTCAGAGAGTGTTTTGCTCCCCAGTATTTGAGTACTTGCAGTTTTGACAGCCACTTACTGTGATCCTTACCTGGTAGTTTCGTAGCCAGGTTTCAGACAGCTTTAGGTTTATAACTCCACCTCTTTCTCTCAGCTTTGTGTAACATTCTAATAATGGCTTAAAAAAAAAACCCCAAATAGTAGGTTACATAGCAGAATAGTATCAAACTTGAACAGTAAATAGCTAAAGTAATATACTTGATTTACCTCTTTGTACTGGCAGTAGACAACAAAAGGCCTTGAAGGAGCAACAAATTCCAATAAAGACAGTAACAAGGGTGTGGGATGAAACTTGCTGGCTACAATTAAGCTGCAAAACAAGTGTCATGCACATTAGTTTTCTACTCATCAAGTGACATTTCCTCCTACTTAGTACAGCAATCAATTATAGCTTAAAAGTTGCTCATCAGCATGTTTTCATGTCTCTAACAACTCCCCAAATATAAAAACAAATCACGATTTTCTACTTGCATAATTAAGAGCCTAAAACTCTCATTCCCTAAGGTGCAGAATATTAAATGAATTGCAGAAGCACTCATTCCAGCTGTGCTGAGCTCCACAATAATTCTTACAACCCACTTTGCATGCTGCTTTCTCTGCCCCAAGACCATTTTCCAAATACAATTTAAATTATGTGACTGCTAATTGTTGCTTAGAATGTCACCTCAGCCGTGATTTTTAGACTGGGTAGCCTTCATTAAATACAGTTTTATATAAGAAGAATATTTAAAGAGAAAACAATCCCCTAATAGACATGACTAAAAATCTTTAAAATTATGTCCTTTCAAACTTAAAGGTTTCTTATTTAATTCTCCATCCCTGTTTTAGTATCACAGTACAACCTGGAGATACAGATGGTTGAGATTCTCTACAGCTATCTCCAGCTGAAATCCAAAAAAATCACTGCCAAACTAGATTGCAAGAAATGGCTGAGTAAATTAGTAATAAGTTGTGCTTGTGCAGAAAGAGTGGGATAATTAAACTACTTCACTAGTTTACAGAGGCTGCGTGAGATGGCCCATTAATTAACATTTGTTCTCCGGGGGAATGTACAGCACTGGAGACACAGTTAAACTTGTCTATCAAAAGGGAGGTGAAAATGGTTGTTCAATTTTCTAAATACAATGAAGAGGTGAGACAATTCTCTTACAGTTGTTCCTGTTTTGGTTTTT